GGGATGGCACAGTTTTGGTTCTTCAAGAAAACAGTGACTCAAGGCACAGTTCAGCCATTTTCTGGACCTGCTCTCCTCTCTTGAGCCCCCTTATGCTATGTGCTAGTTCCTGGAGTTATGTAATTTTTAAAGATTCAGTATTTAAATGAATGTGTGTTTCTGGTTGTGTGTATGCAGTGCCCATGGAGGCCCAGAGAGCTGTCAGATCCCCTGGAACTGGAGTTACGAACGGTTTTTTAACCACAATATGGGTGCTGGGCACAGAACCCCAGTCCTATTGAAGAGTAGCAGTGCTCTTATCTGCTGAGCCGTCTCTCTAGCCCCTTTGTGGTTTTGTTTGTTTTAAGATTTATTTATTTATTATGTATACAGTGTCCTGCCTGTGTGTTGCATGCAGTCCAGAAGAGGGCACCAGATCTCATTACAGATGGTTGTGAGCCATCATGTGGTTTCTGGGAATTGAATTCAGGACCTCAGGAAGGGTTTCCAGGGCTCTTAACTGCTGAGCTATCTCTCCAGGCCTGAGTGCTGCATCTTTATCCGAAGGCAGCAGGAAGAGACTGTGGCACATTTCCTCCAACAAGGCTACACCTACTCACAACCAAGCCACACCTACTCCAATAAAGCCACACCACCTAATGGTGCCACTCCCTCTGGGCCTATGAGGCCATTCTCATCCAGACCACCACAATCATGACAACTGTCTTCTTCCCCTTTTCCTTTCTTCCCACTGAGTGTCCTTGGTTGCTGCTTACTTGGCCCTTGTATGCCTCTGGCCGGGTTGCTCCTTCCATAGCTCCATGGCTTTTCCCACTACAGGTCTCCACCCTTAGTTGTAAACTGGCCTTGTCTGCACCCTGGTCTTATTTTATTTTTTTCCTAATTCAAGTTCTTACACCTGAACCTTCTACCATCTGCAGGGGAAGTGAGTCCTGCTTTGAAATCACTTCCTCCTCCACAACCTTCTCCCCCATCATGTCATCACTTTTCCACAATGGCCAGCATTCTAGACTGCTTTTTTTTTTGGACTTCTGGTGGCCGGTCCCTCCACTGTGAGCACCTGCCCTTCCTTATTGAAGCTCCATGCCCCCTCACGCCACAGCCTGCCAGGTGCAGGGGTTGGCCAGCTCTCTATTGTCTTTAGCAACTGTGTGGTATGGTTTCTTGAATCCTGTACATTTGCAGGCTGTCTTATGTCCCCCACTGAAATAATAGTTAGTGCTCAACCCCAGACAGCAGGCAGGAGCTGGTCATTAGGGAACAGGAAAGTTTCCAGTGTGTTAAGGTTTTAAAGGATGGTGTTTGGGGACTAACTGCCTCTTTCTGACCCCTCCCTCCCACCAACCATCAGACTGGAAGGAATCCAGTGATTGAAGTTGAGGCTGAAAAGGTCACATTGCTTAAAACTTCCCACTTAGAAATTTAAAGAATAGAGCACAAGGAAGTCTTCCTAAGGCCATGACCTATTGGATCATTTTACTTCTATTTATTAATTATTATTATTATTAATTAATTTCTGAGACAGTTTCTCTGTGTAGCTTTGGAGGTTGTCCTGGAACTCACTCTAGACCAGGCTGGTCTCGAACTCACAGAGATCCGCCTGCCTCTGCCCGCCGAGTGCTGGGATTAAAGGGGTGCACCACCACTGCCTGGCTTTTTACTTCTGTTTTTTGTTTTTGTTTTTGTTTTTTTGTTTTTTTTAAGATTTAAGCTGGGCATTGGTGGCGCACGCCTTTAATCCCAGCACTTGGGAGGCAGAGGCAGGAGGATTTCTGTGAGTTCAAGGCCAGCTGGTCTATAGAGCAAGTGCCAGGATAGGCTCCAAAGCTGTTTTTAACTCTGTCTGTCTGTCTGTCTGTCTCCCTCTCTCTCTCTCTCTCTCTCTCCCTCTCACACACACACACACACACACACACACACACACAGGTGCCCACAAGGGTTAGAGGTATCAGATCCACTTGGGGGTGGAGTTATAGGCATTTGTGAGCTGTCTGATGAGAGCAATGGGAACTGAACTCAGATCTTCTGCAAGATCGGTACATGCTCTTAACCACTGGACCCTCTCTCCAGCCCTATTTCACTTCTGTTTTTATTTGGCGATAGCTAGGATGCAATTTAGAGTTAGAATTTCTGTGAGAAAGGAACAGATTGCTATCCTAAGGCAAGGGCTCTGTAATAATCACTATGGAATATGATGGGGCAGAGATTTCATGTTGCCAAGAGTCTTACCAATACCTGTAATAAAAATCATTCAGGATTGTGTACACATCATCCCTCCCACAGGAAACAGGTAACCCTGTCTAGATCCTGTTTTCCTCACCTGGTGGCTTCCTGTGTGAGTCCCAGCAGCAGGAAGTCAGCCTCCACTTGCCTGCTGGGATTACAATGAATAGATATGTTTTGTACAGAAAAATTGTGTCTCTTTGCTAACTGCTGCTTGTAAGACCGGCTTTGAAGGCCTGGCCTGAGTGGAAGAGGTGGACCGATGTACAGAAACCACTGATGAAATATTTTTTAGAGTTTTAAAATATCTCTTAAGAAACACAGAGGGAACTTCTTAAAATAAACCGTGGGTGTGGTGAATTAGTGTCATGTTTCTTTGACCCAAGAGGCAGAAATGGACACCTAACTATCTCAGTTAGGTGTCCTCAACAGCAACTCACAGCACCTGGCATGGTCCCAGCTGTGCCCCCTCTCACTTCTCTGTCACCAAGGGCTACGCCAATGGCAGAGAGCCTTTTCTTGTGCATGTTTGGGGGAATGTGAGCTGCAGCCATGAGGTTACACTGTCTTACCTTCTTCATGAGATGCCTGAAAACCAAGATCTCTGTATCTGGTTAATGGGCTTCAGTCTGAAGGTGGTTTGGAAGTCACTTCAACATCAGTGAGTTGGGTCTTGGAGTGGGTGTTCACTGGTATCCTTTCTGCACTGGTGGAGACACAAGTATCTGTACCTAAGTATTCCATACCCGGCATGGCCAAAAGACCCATTTCTCCCTAGTCTGGGATCTCTGAGTTCACTTTCTGCCTTAAGGGAGTTCAGAAATCTGTTACTGGGGTATGGATCTCAAGAGGCAATGTGGAGAAGTCACTATGCTTCTTACGGGGGCTGGAGCACAGGGCAGCGTGCGTACTAGGCAAGCATTCTAGCAGTGAGTCCCACCCCTAGGTCTTCGATGCCCTTTTCATGCTGGAGCACAGCCTGCTGTGCCCAGGGTGGTTTATCAAAGCTGAACCTTCCCTGTCAATGTCTAACCCAAGTACCTGTTCACTGGTTGATTTCACCCATGTGCCCCGGTATCCAGCAGTATCAGGGCTCAGTACTTCCTGCTTCTCCTGGCACCCACAGCCTTGTCCTGATGTGCAGGAAGCTTGCTACTTCCCAGGCACGCTGCCCACTTAACAGAAACGCCCCCAGCATCTGCACCTGGTGTGGATGCGTCCAAAAATAGTCCCTTCCTCGTGTAAACATTGGAAAGCCATAGAACTCTCTTACATGAGTTACAAACTCTGAGGTTTATGGGATTTTCCCTCTCAGTGACCTGTCCATCATTTCCTTGAGATTCTGTTCCCACCTAGGTGTCAGGGGCTGCCACTTCCTTCCCACCTGAGGGCTGCCAGGGTCCCAGATGCCTTGCAACCTTGTTTGACCCTAGCTATAATTTACTTTTACTCATCTATGTAACAGGGGAATTCCCAGGTCTAAATGAACATTTTACGGGTCTTGATAATACTATATTCTATGGAGCTGGCAGGTAAAACACTAGGAAGAAGCAGCCACAGTTCCTTAGTGACCTGGAGCCTGCAGTGGTGTGTGCGTGTGTGTGTGTGTGTGTGTGTGTGTGTGTGTGTGTGTGTGTGTGTGGGGGAGGGGGTACAGAGGCAGGCCAGTGATACAGTGCCGTGGGTGGTTAGAAGTAGACTTTCCCAGACCTGGGTCTGTTTTATTTATCAGTGACTTCATTGTTGACCGAAGTTAGGTCAACAGAAGACCATCTGATGATAAAGAAGAAAAATGAGTGAAGGAAAAAAAAATAACTATAGTAACCCAAAGTTGTTCTGGGGGCTTCTCTGCACTCACCGACTGTTGTTGACTTAAACTCTTCACCTGGAAACAGCTTTGTAGTTAGAGAAAAATGGTGAAGATAGTTCAGATGTCTCATGAATCCTATGCCCAGTTTCTTCTGTTATTTGTGTGTGTTTATTCATTCTAGGGGTGGCTTCCATGGCTTAGAGCAGTCTTAAGGCTGCCACCCTTTAATACAGTTGCTCATGTTGTAGTGACGCCAAACCGTAACATTATTCCATTACCACTTCGTAACTGTGTTTTTGATATTGTTATGAATTGTAATGTAAATATCTGATATATAGAATGTCTTGACAGGTTGAGAACCGCTGAGCTAGAGAGTATTGTCTTAGGCATTTTAGCAATTACGATACAGTTTGGTTTACATTTCATTATAATATAGTGCACTTGAAATTCTGTCTTGTTTGTCCTGGTACGTCACAGCTGAGGTTGGGAACAGTGTCACTCACTGTCTGTGTTCCCAGTTAGCTGCCACTTGTACCCATAAGAACTAAAATGAGCCTGGCAATGCACACCTTTAATCCCAGCACTCGGGAGGCAGAGGCAGGTGGATCTCTGTGAGTTCGAGACCAGCCTGGTCTACAAGAGCTAGTTCCAGGACAGCCTCCAAAGCCACAGGGAAGCCTTGTCTCAAAAAACCAAAAACAAATAAATAAATAAATAAATAAATAAAACTAAAATGAATGTGGAGGCCCAGAGACCTGGGGCAGAGCAACTGTGGTGGGTTTCTGTCTATCTTGCAAAGTCCCCAAGGAATCTGAAGGTTGTTGGTGGAATGCTAACCTGAAAACATTTTTAAGTAATGGCTTTATAAAGGGTTCCATCCCTGTGTTCCATCTGCAACAAAGGTTTGCTGGGGTTGAATACATGGCACTGACTGAACCAAACTCCTCTTCTTTCTCTTTTCTGACAGGTTTGCTCAGCACAATGGGTTGCAAAAACCTGCTCGGCCTGGGTCAGCAGATGCTGCGTCGGAAGGTGGTGGACTGCAGCCGAGAGGAGAGCCGGTTGTCCCGCTGCCTCAACACCTTTGACCTGGTAGCTCTTGGGGTAGGCAGCACCTTGGGTGCTGGCGTCTACGTCCTGGCTGGTGCAGTGGCCCGTGAGGATGCTGGTCCCGCCATTGTCATCTCTTTCCTGATCGCTGCCCTGGCCTCAGTGTTGGCTGGCTTGTGCTACGGAGAGTTTGGTGCCCGTGTCCCCAAGACGGGCTCAGCCTACCTCTACAGCTACGTGACAGTCGGGGAGCTCTGGGCCTTCATCACCGGTTGGAACCTGATTCTCTCCTACATCATTGGTACGTTCTCTGGTCCCCTCCAGCCTGCAGCCTTCGTCCTCTGACCCCTGTTTGTTAGGGACACTCTGCTCTCCTCTCCCCAAGGACTGACTTGGTATATCTCTCGGGGGCCCTTTAGCCTGACTACTGTTTGTAGTCACTTTTAGCGGGGAACTAAGGTGTCTTTAGGAGTCACTGTTTTGACTCCCCTCATTCTGCATCTGTTTGAGTTTGTTTTCTCTTTCTGTGATAAACACGGAGACCAAAAGCATCCTGGGGATGAAAGGGTTTAATCTCAGCTTACAGATTACATTCCATCAGTGAGGGGATGAATGTGGAGTTTTTCATCTGAACAGTCAACTCCCAAATAACCACACAGAGACTTATTAATTGTAAATGATCAGCCAATAGCTTAGGCTTGTCTCCAACCAGCTCTTACAGCTTAAATTAACCCATTTCTAATTAATCTACATGCTGCCCAAGGCTCATTTACCTCATCTATGAACTTCCCATGTTGCTTCTTCTGAATCTGTCTTCTGTAACTCGGTCTTCCTTCTTCCAGCATTCTCTCTGCCCCGAAAATTCTGCGTAGCTATTGGCCAATGAGCTTTTTTTTTTTATTAACAATGAGAGCAACACATCTCTACAGTGTACAGAAGGATTATTTATTCCACAGCAAGGGAAGTCAGAGCAGGAACCTGGAGGCAGGTGTTGATGTAGATTTTCTCCTGCCAGGGGTCCCACCGCCATTGAGCCCCCAGATAAACACACAAAGATTTACATTAGTTATGAAACTGTTAGCCGGTGGCTTGGGCTTCTTATTGGCTAGTTCTGTCTTAATTATTAACCCATTTCTGTTAATCTATATATTTCCATTACCGGAGAATGCCTGGCATGTCCTCTCTTCCCGGGTTCTACATGACTACTCCATCTGTCTACATTTTCCAGAATTCTCCTCATCTCCTAGCTCTGCCTATACATCCTGTTTGGCCAATCAGCTAATCAGTATTTTATTCATCAACCAATAAGAGAAATATATATGCAGAAGGACTTCTCCCATCAGGCAGGAGCTGAAACAGAGAACATGGAGGAGTGATGCTTACTAGCTTGCTCTCCTCTGCAACCCAGGACCACCAGCCCAGGGGTGACTAGCACCCATGGTCATCTCATCCCTCTCACATCAGTCATTAACTGAAAAGACCTGAAGACTTGCCTATGGGTCATTCTGATGGAAATGGCCCTTTAGTTAAGGCTGTCTCTTCCCCAATGACCCCAACTTGCATGAAGTTGACAAAAAGCCAAGCCAGCGCAGCACCCGTGAGCAGAGACCAAGCCAGGCCAACTACAACCATCCTTGGTAACTCAATGAATACATAGATGATAGGATAATTCTAATTTTAAAACTTAGTTTTGTTTTTGTTAGTGCCCACCCCCAGGTAATTACAGTAAATGTATCACGATAGACGACACTTTGGGAAACAGAGAAAAGCACAAAGAAGAGAAACAGAGAAGCACCCAACCTGATAACCAGCAGAAACAGTATTTCCTGGGTATTGCTTTGTTCTGGCCATTTCACTGGAGGTGTGTGATACTGTCTGAACACTTGGGGCATCCCACTGTTAACAAGTTAGCACTGAGTAGAGACACAGAGGGATCTAACCTAGGACCTTTCATATGCTAGACATATGTCCTTCCACCAGGTTATACTCCCAAATCCTAAGTATATATATTTTTAGTCTCTTTATAAACCAATTATGATGGTTTCTTCGTGGCACTATTCCCACTGACTGTATCATTGTGTATATAGGTTTATAAGTCCAGAATAACCTTACCTAATGTCCTTATGTACTATTTAGATCATATCTGTTGTTTTTCATAAATAATTACTTTGTGTAATTGTAGACATAGCCACAGTTTCTTCCCCTTGAAATATTTAAAAGGCAGAATGTCTTTTAAATCAAATGTCTTTTAGATAAAAAGTTCTGCCTATTTTAAAACCTTTGTTCACTCCAGTCCTCCATCCTACCCGGCTGTTGGGAGATTTTTCTCCGTCTAGTCTCAGTACCACTGGACCGGTTTCTCTCCACCAACCGGGTCCCCACAGACACTATGAAATAACCACTTTGAGACTTAACATTTGTTTATAATTGTTTGGCCATTGGCTCAGGCTTCTTACTGGCTACCTCTTTCTTAATTGTTAACACATTTCTATTGATCTGTGTATCTCGACATGGCCTTCGTTACCGGTAATGCCCGGGGATCCTGCTCCCAGCAGCTACTTGGTGACTCGTTGACTTCGCCTTCTTTCTCTCCATGTCTCTGTTTGAATTTCCCACCTGGCTCTATTTCTGCCTGGGTATTGGCCAAATCAACTTCTTTATTAACCAATGGTAATAAAACATATTCACAGCGTAGAGAGAGGGGCATCCTGCATCACCCCACCTTTCTTCATATATTTCACCGGGCATTAGCATTAAACACAACACCCATGAAATCTCAGTCTGTTCCCACAAGGAAACCTGGATGTGGTCCTGTGAGCCACCTTCTGGTCCTGTTGGCATCATGTCAGCATGGGGGATGCCATAGCCACCTCCTTAGGCTATCAGACAGAGACCAACGCTCAGGTGTCCAGTAGGCAGTTCTTCTCTCTCCTAGCACTACAGTGTCTGTGAGCCAGTGGAGCTTGCTCTAATGGTTCTAATGTAAAATTCATAATTTTTCTTTTCCTATGCAGCCTTCCAACTTGTAACCACAGATGACTCTGACATACCAACGCTTCTCGGTGGGAATGAAGCTTTTGTAAATGGGCTGTTACATTTCCAGGCGGTTTACCTGGGTGTAAAACAACAGTGAGCTTGAAGTGTTTGCTGCTGTTAGACCAACAAAATAATAGTCTTCCTGGGGTGCTACTTACCCATGGAAGACTCACGAAAAACGATCTGGAAATCTGTGCTCAGTCTTAGCTACTGAGGGGGGAGAGTTTTTCAGTTTTAAGAATGTGCATATGGTTATGCATTTGAAAGCCGTAATTCTGACATGGGAACAGGGTGGCCTGGGAAGAAAGTCTAGGGTATCCAGCAGGGTGGGTGGGGTCTGGACCGTCACTGCGGCGAACCAGCTTCTTTGCGCATGCAAGGCAGACAAACCATTTTTCTTCATTAGTCTCATGGTCTACGTGGACAGAATTCCTAACAGCCAAATGAAAAATGAGGTTAAATTTTTGAGTTGTTGAAAAAATACTTAGCGTGAGAGCAAATAATGAAGTTGAGTCTTTGTGTGGACCCCTCTGTGTTCTGTGAATAATTCAGACCATAGTCATGGGTGAGGCCCCCTGAAATGAAAAGAAAATGCCAGATTTGAATATTGGCCTTCCAGTGTCCTTGACAAACAGCACTGGAGAGGCAGGGGGTGTCTTCAGTATAAAAGGAGAAAGGGGGTGAGAGAGCAGCCAGTACAGCCCGCTGTTGGGGTACAGCCCCTTTGTGTGTTCTCTGTTGCTGGGGCACTTGGGACTGGCACATGGAGGTGAGATGTCACCTTCACCATAGTCCTGCACTCTGGGGAAATACCCTGGCCTAGGAGCAGAGTCCCACTCACGTGCCTCATGGGCAGGGCTGACTGGTCATTGTGCTCTCCAGAACCACTACAAATGAAATATTGCTTAGACCCTTAAAAGAGGAAAACTTGAAGTATAATTTTTACATTTCTACCAAATACACATTGTTATCTCTATATTAACAGAGTTTCAATTAATGATCAAGATTTACTCTTGTACAACTCTCTCTCTCTCTTTCTTACACACACACACACACGCACTGTAGATATTGGCTGAGGATAAAATACACTTCTGTATAAGCTCTAGCAGCCCCAGGGAGTGTGGGGCTTTACCCCACATGCTGGTAGCATCTGCTAGGGCTCAGCGCCTGCTGCTAGATGGCAACATGCTGCCTGTCTATGACCCTGCATGGGTGCTGTAACATCAAACTGATGAGGGACGTCTTGTTAACCACCCTTCTCTAATTGTCACCATGTGTTCTGTGGCAGGTACTTCAAGTGTGGCAAGAGCCTGGAGTGCGACTTTTGACGAGCTGATAGGCAAACCCATTGGAGAGTTCTCTCGGAAACACATGGCCCTGAATGCCCCTGGGGTGCTGGCCCAAAACCCTGACATATTAGCTGTGATTATAATTCTCATCTTAACAGGTAAAGCCTCATTTTGACAAAAAGCTTGTGTTGGGGTAATGGTAGAACTCCTGTTTTAAGATTACATTGTTTCTTCCATTTATTTATGTGTTCGTTCATTTTTTGGCAGTACTGGGCACGGAACCACAGCCTCACCATACCTGGCCAGTGCTTTTTCTAGAAAGCCCCCAGCCCCTCTTGCTTTCTTGCCTTGTCTCTCTGGTGCTCCTTCCCCCATTTCTTTGGTTTCTCTTGTAATGTATTTGTTTTTCTCCCTGTCCCAATGGTTGCTTCCAGCTCATCCCAGGGTTGGCCTGTTGTAATAACTGCTGAGACCTGTGGTGTTTAGTTAAAAGTGAGAGTCTCGGGTGAGGTTTTGTTAGCACTGAAGGCTCTTTGTCCTTTTGACTCAGTGGATGACCATTCGGATAAGAAACTAATAGTTTGTCTGCCAGGAAAATGCAGGGCAGCGATCTCCCGCTGGAAGAGGAATGTATGCCTGGTTTTTCTAAGGCATCTTGGGTGGTTTTACTTACATTTCACATCCATGAAAACACCCTTTGAATACATAAGTTGTAGTTGCCGAATTTGAAAATTCCAAGTACTGCAGGGCACAGCCAGTGGCAGTTTCCTGCTAGCGACATTGGTCTGTGTCTCTGATGTTCAGGTAAATGTCTTTCTCCACTGAGCATTTCCTAGACACACCCGGAGCTTCAACACAGGCAGTTCTCATCACACAGTAGAAGTTATAATGTCTTGGGTGAATCTCAAAAGTTCCTTCCACACTGCATAATTGAAGTCATCTCACCCAGGCTGGCCTTGACAGTATTTTTGGTCCAGCTGGCAGAAACATGTATCAGAAAAGATGCTTGTACAACTACAGTTAGATTTTTATTTTCATAAACACATGAGGGAGGGACACTAAGGAAAACAATACATTGGGGCATAGTGGCATTCTTCCCCTCTGAGAAGTTACTCGATCAGAATTCATCTGATGTGTTTTATGGTTTTTCTTACAGAGGTGTGGAAGTTGCCCATGGGAAGGCCATGATCTGGAATCATGTTGGTTGGGTCCTGGGTGACACTGCCCCCCTTTTCAGATCCATCATGATTTAGCCACATGTTAACTATCTTTTTATCACTGTGACAAATGTCTGAGTTCACATTGTATCAAGAATAAAGATTTATTTAGGCTCACAGTGTTTGCGGCCTCAGGCCATTCAGGCAGAATATTGTGACGGGAGCATGAGGCTGAGCCAAACCGTTCATTCATGACTGGACAGAAAGGAAGAGATCGAATCCATCCTGTCTTACAATCTACAATTCCCTTCAAGGGCAACCCCCACAACCTAACGATCTCCCAGCATTCCCTACATCCTGAAAGCTCTGCCTCCCAATAGCACCACCTAGTGGAATATACCTTTATTACACAAGCTCTCTCTCTCTCTCTCTCTCTCTCTCTCTCTCTCTCTCTCTGTGTGTGTGTTGGGAGGCTGGGAGGGCTTAAAATTCTAAACTGTGTGGGAGTCCCAAGGCTGTGTGGATGCCTTAAAGACAGTGCAGTTTTGAGGTTCCTGTACTCTGTCACTTGCTTATTCTGTTTTGTTTTAAGTTTATGAGCTAGAACTGATCAAATTTAGACATTATTTTATATATACTAAGTATGAGGAGGGACCACATATGCTACCAGTTTCTAGAACACAAAGGATTGTTACTACCATCGTGACTAGTGTCGCCAAGTCAACCTGCAACATTCCTCATCCAGAAGCCTCTCATTCTACCAAGAAGTTGAACCAAGTGACATTTCCTCAGAGAGAAATGGATCAAGGCTCTGTCCATCCTCCACCAAGGGCTTGCTCTTCGTGGAAGGCTGAGTGCCATGGTCCAGACTTCTGCAGGGCTTTAGTGAACTGCAGTAGCATCCTCAGATCCCTGAGAATCCCGAGTGCGAGCACCGCACTGTCCTAGAGCAACAGACAGTTCAGCCATGCTCTTCGAGGCTCACAGAGATCTTTGGAGGTCCCATGCCCAGTGCCTTCTTCCTCCCCTCCATCTTCTTGTCCCCTGCTCGAATGGACGAAACTGGTGTATGGTATATGGCTAACATGTCTACATGATTTTCTGTTTGTGCCTTTTCTTAGGATTGTTAACGCTTGGTGTGAAAGAATCAGCCATGGTCAACAAAATCTTTACCTGTATTAATGTTCTGGTCTTATGCTTCATCATGGTGTCGGGATTCGTGAAAGGGTCCATTAAAAACTGGCAGCTCACGGAGGAGGACTTCTTGAATAGATCCAGCCCTCTCTGTGGCAACAAGTAAGTTTATCTTGTGTATTGCTTTGGCATGTGACAGACAGTTCTCTGTATTTGGCATTTCAGATCATATACAGGTGTTGGGTGTTGCAGTTCATAGGGCAATACATACCTTTAGATATTACATGATTTTAACTTATTTTGTAAAAGTGCTTTTTTTCCCCCCAGTGAAGTAGCTAAGGAGTTTTATTTTTTAAAATGAATTGATTAGTGTATTTATTTACTGTGTAGATCTGGCTGGCCTCCAGCTCATAGAAATCTACCTGCTTTTGCCTCCCAAGTGCTGAGACTAGATGTGTATGCCACCACACTTCTCCTACATTGTCTTCAACAAGTTCCAATTATTTAGGAAACAAGCCAAATCATTATAATGTCACTTTAATCTTCTTGGTCAAATTTTCAGGTGAATCTCAGTGTCTTAGGACACACAACAGAAGTTGTCTGTGATTCTGTTTTCATTAAGGCTAATGCTTAAGTTGCTATGATGAAGGGACCTTTGTGAGACACCGTGACTTTTTATGGTAGTGGCTACCCATCTTGGAACTCCAGATGTCTTTGTTTGTTATGTCCTACCAAGTGACAACTTTTGTAGGCTTCTTGTCTGGACTGGGTATTTGAGCATACCTCAGATTTTCCAGAAGGGGAAATAGAATAAGATATGGACAGGGTATTCCCAAGGTTATCTGAAGGTTGGTCTGGAACACCTCTTCCACACCCCCACCCCAGCCCATCCACACCCCATCTTCATTCCCTCTACCAGAATAGCCCAGGTGTCTAGCCTGTATTACTACTACAATGGAAACACAAAAAATGTTGAATCAAATACACAAAACTCCATAGTACTACCATCCTGTAATTGTCAGTTCAAATACAAGTATCTTTTCCCGTCCTAAGTTCTATGGAGCAATGAGGACTTTTACTGCCTCATTGCCAAGCATTCTGGAGCTAGTTATATTTACTCCAAATTTATTGGTCCGTATGAATTTAAGGTGGAGTGAAGCCAACTCAAAAATGCTCTTTGAAGTCCCACAGTAGACTTTGGAAACTCTGGAGATCACATTTCATTGGCTGCTATTTACAGGCAGGAGTGAAACGCAGAGGGCTTTCCTTGTTTCCTCAGCGGCCAGCTGAGGTTTAAGTTTGTTTTTGCAGATTGCATGGGCTACCAACAGTCATTGCAGTTCGTGCACTGGCCACTGTTGGGATGGTTTATACAGCACTGACCTCCCAGACAAAGGTGACATTTGTTGTCTGGGTGGGGCCTTAAGTCCATTTGAAGACCAGAGGGACTGCTGGGCCACAGGGCACCCGCCACTTTAGGAGCAGAGTTCTACAGGCCTGGAGCCTAGCTGGCTCTTCCTCGTTACTAAAGTCTGTAAATGGCCTTATGCAATGTGTTCATTCATTTCCCCTTTTCCAGCTATAGATCCACACTTCTCACAATTGCCCTGTGTAGTCACATATGAAGTTGCCTGTCCCTCAGTGAGAGCTCTACACCCCCTTCCTGAACCCCATCACATAGAGGACCTCCAGCGATCATGATGCTGGGGATATTCTAATTAATTTCCTGTCGGTGTGATAAAACACTGACTAAAAGCAACGTGGGGGGCGGGGGTAGTGAATTTGTTTTGTTTACACTTCCAGTTCACAGTTCATCCTTGAGGGAAGTCAGAGCAGGAACCTAGAGGCCTGACTTCATGTGTTGGGTGGGATCTAAGGAAAGGTGTGGCAGGGACTCTGTGGAATGGTTTATCCTCACCCATGGTTTTGTGCTCATTCTATCAGTTGGGGAAGGCTGTGTGAGCCCCTTGTTACACGTCAGGGCAGACCCCTGTCAGGTGCTTCCCTCTGTCTCCTCTTTAGCAAGCTATCCAAAGCTCTTTCCTCTGTTTTTGGTTATTCCTCTGCACTGTCCGCATGACTAGCCCTTTGTTCTTTTCTGGGAGTCCAGTCTTCTCCCCTCTCATTTAATAACTGGACTTTGCATTTCTCTGTACGTACAGCCTTTCACTCCCCAGGGCCTCCTGCCTGATTCTTCTTCAAAGCAAGCCTTCAGTGGCGACACTCACACTTTACCTACAGCCATTCCCCCACACACATGGGTGCTTCAGGAATGCTGCGGTTGAATAAAAATCAGTCTGCTTGTGTAAAACCTTAACTTGTTTATAAATACTGTTTTAAGCAGGGAGGGGTTTGGTCCTGCCTCAACTTGGTATGCTAGACTTTGTTGACTCCTCAAGGAAGACCTCACCCCCTCTGAGGAGTGGGTGGGGTGGGTGGAGAAGGGGAGGTAGGAGGAACTGGGGTTGGTATGTAAAATGAAAAATAATTTTTTTCAAATAATTAAAAAAAAGAAATACCTGCTTTTAGACTCAAGCTCCTGGTGCATACATGGCCTGGGTCAGAGATGGCGTCCCCAGCTGATGGCTTCCTGGGGAGGAGAATGGGAAGGGACCAGATGCAATGTTGAAGCTTGCCTGAGTCCCATTAGACTCCTGCCTCTACCTGTCAAAGTCTCAACATAGAAAATGCTTCTGGAAGTGTTAATAGTGTGTGCCACTGGGGCTCCTGGCCTTGGGGAGGAGAGGCCTGCTACCCACTGAATGCCCTCACTGGAGGACTGGGGACTGTGGAGCAAGAGACTTAAGCCCTGTACCTTTTCTTCAGAGCAGCACTGTCCCCAAAATGAAACTGCAGCAGGTGTTCTAGTCTTTGCTTTTTTTTTTTTTCCTAGTGACACAAATGTAAAGCATGGTGAGGGAGGGTTCATGCCCTTCGGATTCTCTGGCGTCCTGTCGGGGGCAGCGACCTGCTTTTACGCCTTTGTGGGCTTTGACTGCATTGCCACCACAGGTATGTGGACTTTCCTCCCGTGGGGGCCCTGCCCCCTTGCAGGCACTGCTAGCAATTCCTTTCCTGTTGGCACATTCCACTTGCTGTTCTGGTCCCACAGGAGTAACCGTGCAGATTTGTCGTTTCCTGCTGATCTCTTCTCACTCTCTCTGTCGCCTTCCTACATCCCCTAGGAGCAGGCCCCGACAGGAAATTACATCATTAACACAAGCAGGGCTCTGTCATTAGAGTGGGACAATGACAGTGTGGCTGCAGCCTGATTTCATATCTGCACATCCAAGCCATTGTAATGACAACGTCCTGGCAGATTGGGGCCCCTTGAGCCTCGCAGCTTCTCAGCCAAAGGAAACGTGCCTCTCCCTTAGCTGACCTGTGATAGAAAGGTTGGGAACACCCTCCCAGGCTGCAGTTGTGTGGTGGGTCATGGGAAGGTCAGAAGACCCCAGTTCCTGCAGGCTGAGCCCTGTGGGGCATGCATTTCAGTGTGATCATGGGGAGGATGCCAGGCCTCTTGCTCTCTTCCCCCTCATTGACTGACACCCTCTGCTTCCAGGTGAAGAAGTCAAGAACCCCCAGAAGGCCATCCCCGTGGGCATCGTGGCGTCCCTCCTCATTTGCTTCGTAGCTTACTTCGGGGTGTCTGCAGCCCTCACGCTCATGATGCCTTACTCCTGCCTGGACACTGACAGCCCACTGCCTGGTGCCTTCAAGTACAGTGGCTGGGAAGGAGCTAAGTATGCAGTGGCTGTCGGCTCCCTCTGCGCACTCTCTGCCAGGTGAGGACGGCTTCCTGAGTGCTTCCAATGGCTTGTGCGTATTAACCCCAGCACCCCAACACCAGTGGCGTGGCTAGTGCGTTTTGTTGCTATCTGCTATTTGTGTTATTAATATGGGTGTTCCCCTTTATTCATGGAGAACTACACTCTGAGACCTCCATTGGATTCCTGAAACAATAGATTGTTCCAAACCCTATATAACATTCTCACAGTAAGATTGACACCAGTAGCTAAGGGTATAATGGAAGCATTGTTGTGTACTGACATTAAGAAAAAGCTAAAACTATCAATGGCATATTTCTGGAATTTTCCATTAATATTTTTCATACTGTATTTGACACGGGTAAAAGACTACAGAAGGCAAAACTAGGTAAGGGGAAACCACTGTACTTTTGAAAAGAACTGGAGCCAACTTTTGTATGTGATGCTTGGCAAGGAAATGGCTTCCTGCCTCTGACTCTGGCCTCTCCAACCAGGGCCCCCATCTTTGATGACTGTATTGTTGGCCTTCAGTTTGGCTGTAAGGCAGAAGCTCCTTTGAGTAAAGGAGTGGGTGCCTTTTAATGAGACACATAACCCCGAACACATGCACACACATATGTGTGCATGCACACACACACACACACACACACACACACACACACACACACAGTGCTTCCCCACCAGCTTGTGTAAACAGTTTACACATATGTGCAAACAGGAGCTACCTGCACATATGTGCATATGAACATACACACACTGGTGCATGCAAACACACACACATACATTCACATGCATGCACACACACACAATGCTTTCCCTCCAGCTTGTGTAAACAGTTTACACATACACATACTTGTACATGCACACACACACACACACACACACACACACACACACACACACACACACACACAAACATGCACACATATCTGCATCCACACACATATACTACACACACACACTGCTTCCCCAATGGCTTGTATAAACAGGAACTGTTTGCTAATGCTTGGCCTTAGCCAGGAATGACTGAAGACATAAATGCAAGAGCTCCCTCATGGATGTTGCCCCAGGATCTCATGATCCTTTCTGTTAGGTGCCCCTAGTCTGTTCATTGGTCTTACACCTACTCTGTGAGTTTTGTGAAGCACTGAGTCCCAGAGCCCTGGGTGCCACTGGGTGGTAAGCATTGTGGAGGGAGTGGTTCTTGTTGAAGGCAGACACCTCTCCTTGGCCCTGCCTGGGTCTGCTGAGGCCTTGTTTGCCAGTGACATACGTTTACTCACGTGTTTTTCCCTTTTCTCACCCAGTCTCCTAGGCTCCATGTTTCCCATGCCCCGAGTAATCTACGCCATGGCTGAAGACGGACTACTGTTTAAATATTTGGCCAGAGTCAACAAGAGGACCAAAACACCAGTAATTGCTACACTGACCTCAGGCGCCATTGCTGGTAAAGATTGGAATTTATTTCCGGTGCTACTGTTTGAACAACTAAGCCAGCATTCCTAGCGAGGCATCTTGAAGTTTACCTGTCTGTGGGAACTGTAAAAAAGCCACAACTCATCCATTAGAGCTTTTGAAACTATAGCTTTTTACACTCAGAACCTGGTTCACGAAAATATAACTGCATGAAAAAAAATATTTTTAGGTTTGGCTTACGTGATGGGTGTTTTGCCTGTATGTATGTGCACCCAGTGTGTGATTGGTACCCATGGAAGCCAGAAGAGGGCATCAGATCCCCCAGAACTGGAGTTACAGATGGTTGTGAGCCAACACGTGTGTGCTGGGAACTGAACTTGGGTCCTTTACAAGAGCAGCCAATTCTCTTAACTGCTGAGCTGTCTCTCCACTCCTAGATAACTGTACATTTGATGAAAGACAGTGAAGGCAGGTTTATAGATGATGGGTTGGAGTTATTCTTAGAGTTTAACTCTTACAGTGGTCTCTATAGGCAAAGCTCACAAACACACAACCATTCCTTCAAAGCCACCCATCATCCCTGCCTAGTGTTTCCCTGTGTAGAATTTGGGAGGGTGGCCTCTTGCGTAATCCAAGCCAAAAGTACTCTTGGGTAAACACCAGCAAGTCTAGTGTCCATGCATATTAGCTTATTGATTGCCTGGAGCATGAATGTCCCTCACAGTCATTTTTTTGTAAACATGCACCATCTCTCTCCCAGGAGGCATATACAGGGTTTTGCTGTTTGCCCTCAAATAGTGGTAGACCCAGAGCCAAGGAAGTTTTCTTTTGCCATCATCATGTTCATCCCCAAGAGTGCAGCTGTGGTAGATGAACTAGGTGCACTAAAGGATCTCTAAGCCATCTGATGGGGGTAAGGGGGGTGACCCAGAGGAAGCCCATGTGCATACTTCCTCGTGTCCAGCTGGAGAAGTGGTGGCCTGAAGAGGCCCAGGGTCACACCCAGGAAGGCTGAGCTGCTCTTGATTTCTGTTTGTGTTCATGCCAGAAGCAGTTCCTTGCAGGATCCGACTAGCACCGGGTCTGTTTTTGATCTTTCAGGACACAGGGTACCATACAATTTGTATCTCAGTGTCTTATCAAATGGCTACTAGTAAGACAATGGACCATTTCTACCTACCTACCTACCTATCTATCTACCTATCTATCTTTGGTTTTTTGAGACAGTATCTCTGGGTAGCCTTGACTGTTTTGGAACTCACTATGTAGACCAGGCTGGCCTCAAACTCACAGAGATCTGCCTGCCTCTGCCCCCCTGAGGACTGGGATTAAAGGCATGCCTCACCACCACCTGGCTGACAATTGGCCATCTTAAATGAGCAAATGATTTATTAGTATTCATACCTTAATAAAGTATTTTAGTTTTGTGACTATTATTATATTTAAAAAAAGAAAACAAATTTAAAATTGTTTACCAATAGTTCTGCATGTAATTACCGTAGTAGGTTCTGGGGCATCAGGTCACTGCAGTGACCGAGGACTTTGTTAAGTTCCCACATAATTTGATGTAGTTTCCTTGCTGTGCTCACAAAAGGAGGTCAAACCATGACCTTTTGAGTGGCTGTAAAGGACACACCACTTGCCAAACCAAGAGTTGGTCCATTTTTTCCCCTTTTGGTAGGATTGATATTTGGTGTTCTAAAATCACCTGGCATGGTAGCAGTTTTTTTTTTTTTTTTTTTTTTTTTTTTTTTTTTTTTTTTTTCTGTGAGCACGAATGGAGGCGAGGGTGGCATGTGCTATCCAAAAGTGTTCCAATTATATGAAAGGCCTCCACTGCTTCTCTAATCTAACTATTTATTATCAATTTAAATTTGCTTGGCTTGCATTGATCTGGTGGGGCTTCAAAGATGTGTGTGGGAAATGGATAGTTCCATGATTCTGCTTTAATTTGTATTGATTTACATATTATTTGAAAATATCCCAAGTAGATCCTGCCAAATTATTTTTTAAATGGGAAAACTGACATAATATACTGACATAAATAGAACACGGGGAATTTTTAAATAAACACGTGTTTATCATGCCACTAGATCTTGTACGTACTAGGCCAGTGCTCTACCACAGGCCCAGACCTCCCAAGCATGTATGTTCAGTTCTTCTAAAGACCGAAGTCGGGGGGGGGGGGGCAGGATGGCAAGGTTTGTTTGGTGACAGGGATAGTACCATTTAGGAATACCTTTGAAACTTTTCACACGTGAGGATAACTGTTTTCCCTACTTACCTGCCTAGAGTAGGAGCTCCTGTGAGTCTTTCCCGAGCAGGCTTCCCATCACCATCATCTCCTGATACACGTATCTTTAGATGATACTCTAGGAGGCCAGACACTGTGGTCTGCCCTCTTCAAGGCTGGGTACCTAGAACTTAGTGACTGGCTGGCTGAATGGATGGATGGTGGATGGAGGAGGAGTGGGTGGTTGAAGGAAGGATGCGTGGATGGATGACTGAAGCATGGATGGATGGAACAAGGATGGATAGATGCATGTGTGAATAGACAAGATGGGGCGCGTTCAGGGTGGTATCGCCATAGACGCATGTATGAATAGAGCATGGATGGAGGGAGGGAGGAATGGTGGATGGGAGAATGGATGGAGGATGGCTGCAGAAACGGAAGAAAGACATGAGCAGATGGAGGATGGGTGGATGGATGGATGGAATACAGATGAATGACCATAGATGGAGGAAGATGAATGGGTGGAAGATAGATGTACAGATGGTCGTGTGGATGTGGCTGTCTGTGAGTCACCAACATGTGGCAGAAGTCACAGTAGGGTCAGAGTTGCAAGAATCTGATGCAGATCCTGGCTCTCCCATCTACTAGCTGTATATCCTTAGCTCAACTTGCTACTTACAGTATTCATCTGTAGTGTTGAGTTGGCTTGAAAAATTATTCCCCCCCAAAAAAAAAAGTATTCTCTATGAAAATTTCTTTTTTTTTTTTAAGATTTATTTATTTATTTATTGTTTTGTGTGCCGTGTTCTGTCTGCGTGCATCCCTGCAGGCCAGAAGAGGGCACCAGATCTCATTACAGATGGTTGTGAGCCACCATGTGGTTGCTGGGAATTGATCTCAGGTCCTCTGGAAGAGCAGCCAGTGCTCTTAACCACTGAGCCATCTCTCCAGCCGGCTCTATGCAAATTTCAATGTTAATTATTTCTACTGTTTCTTGAGCCTGTCTTCACCTGAGCAATGTCTGTCTCCTGGACAATGGCTGAGTGAGGGTGGGACTGGGAGTACCCCGAATTACAGATGTGCGGTCGGGTAGAGGGCCACTTGCAAGCTGATGTCTGTCTTCTCCCCAGCTGTGATGGCCTTCCTCTTTGAATTGAAGGACCTGGTAGACCTCATGTCCATTGGCACGCTCCTGGCTTACTCTTTGGTGGCTGCCTGTGTATTAGTCTTAAGGTATGTATGGCTTTCCTGGGTTCCACGACAAATGTTAAACAACCCTATTATGGCTGGGTTTTTTTTTTTTAACCGTTCTGACAAATGGTTTGTAAGTTTATAAGGTACAATTTTCAGGCCATATTAGCTCTGTTGGGGGCTGCTGAGTAGAAGGTGGGGTGAAGTCAGTGGTTGCCCCCTCCCCCGTTTTGTCGTCTTGTCTCATCCATGTGCTACCCCCCTCCCAGCACACGAGCTGCTTCCTCCTATCATGTCCTCTGTTTCTCTGGCTAAATGTCCTCAACAGCAGCATTGATCTGAATCTGGGATATGAAATTTAGAAGGCTTAGGGCAATGACTTCAGTTGGCCCAATTGTTGGGAAAAATGATCCTGGGGGCTAGCCCTAGATTACATCAGAAGAATCTAAGGCCTATGACCCAGGTCCATGTGGTGCTTCTGTAGCCTGCTTTTACTGGTGCTTGGGAGTGAACCCCATAACATGGTGTGGTGTAGCTTTTGGACACTGGGTTCTAATTGTGTATCTTTTAAAGGCTTTAGGGCTACAGGAGCTTGGTGCCATAGTGTCTCACCCACCCAGAAGTGCCCAAAGCACATGCCTGGGCTCCAACTTTGCTTGGACATGGAGGAACAGAGAGCTCTAAGGCCTTTGTCATGAGAACATGTATTCACAATGACTGTTGTTTGTCACCTGTTATTGGGGTTTTTTACTCTTTACTCTTTTGGCTTTTGAGGGGGCCTGCTACCCAGCTCCCAGATAAATCATACATGGAGTCTTATTCTTTCTTATAAATGCCCAGCCTTAGCTTGGCTTATTTCTAGCCAGTTTTTCTTAAATTATCCCATCTACCTTTTGCCTCTGGGCTTTTCTCTCTCTCTCTCTCTCTCCCCCTCCCTCCTCCCCTCTCCCTTCCCTCCTCTTCCTCTTTCTTTCTTTTTTTTCTTTTTTTTTTTTTTTTTTTTTTTTACTTCTGTATATCTTACTTTCACCCCGTGGGTGGCTGGCCCCTTCTTTTCTGGCTCCTTGATCTCTCATCCTTTCTTTTTTTCTCATCCTATTTATTCTCTCTGCTTGCCAGTCTGCTTATCCTTTCTCCTGCCTAGCTATTGGCAGGTCAGCTCTTTATTAGACCTATCAGATATTTCAGACAGGCAAAGTAACACAGCTCACAGAGTTAAACAAATGCAACATAAAAGAATGCAACAAATCTTTGCATCATTAAGCAAATGTTCCACAGCATAAAAACAAATGTAACACATCTTAAAATAGTATTCTATAACAGTCACCCAGCCAGAGCTTCCCTCTTTTCAGGTGTTTCTCCTTAGAAGGCAAATAGCTTCATTTTTTTTCAGCATTCAATTTCCATAAAACTTGGACTGGTTCCTACTAGAGATGTTGCAGGCTCAGCTCAGGCAAGTTCATGGACCTCTGTTCAATTCTAGAGGCATAACACCAACATGTTCTTTGAGTTCTACTTTCTTGATTGGCCAAATTACCATGCATTTGTGGGTCTATGGGAAGAACAGTTAGCTATCTCGCTGCATACTCTTCTTGTGCTTGGAATTGATCATCTGCAAAACAAGTCAAAAGGTATTCTGCTTTTAAAAGCTAGTGAGAACCTGTCCAGTTGGAAAGGCAAGGAACCACGTCATATGAATGTATGCTTCATCTGTGGGTAGCTTGTGTCTTGGAAGTCATGCCACAGGCATGGCTGGCTCTGTAGTTACTCCAAGGCACTTAGAGGTTTAGAATAGCTTTGTCCAGTTAGGTCATGCAGACAGAGCTTACCCATCCACCAGTAGTCAATGACTCTCCAGCTTCCTACAGCAAGTGGAATGCCAGTGTTAGCACTTCTTGACTTTGTACTCCCTTTGAGCTCTGGGCAACAAGGGTTTGGTGAGAAGTGCCCTAACATTGTCATATTCAAGGGCTACTGCTACTTCTTTGATCAAGAGAACCTCTCTGGGACATTTCATTGGACCACTTCCCAATGGTTTCCCTATTCTACCCAAAGTGAAGACACCACGGTTGAGTATTGGCCTGAGAAGGAAGGACTTGATCTGTCCTTTGTTCTTGTATTGCTAAATACTGCACCATTCTACCCATTTATGTCCAGTGTCTCAGGCACCTTATCTTTAAAGGCTCATTGAGAACTTAATCTGATCTTTGTTTTTGTGGGGGAGGGGTATAGACAGTGTTCCTCTGTGTGACGACAGCCTTGGCTGCCTGAAACTCACTTGTAGACCAGCCTGGCCTCAAAGTCACAAGAGGTCCACCTCCCTCTGCCTCCTGAGTGCTGGGATTAAAGGTGTGTGTGTGTCTTTTCTTTATTTATTTTTCTTTTTGACTTTTTTTTGAGACAGGGTTGTAATCCTAGCCGTCCTGGAACTGGCTCTGTAGACCAGGCTGGCCTTGAACTCACTGAGACCCACCTTCAATTTTATTTATATTTGTTTTTATTATTTTATTATATTTATTACTTTACGTGTATTTTGCCTGCATGTCCATCTGTTCACTTTGTGTGCTGGTGCTTGAGGAGGTGATGAGCCTCCATGTGGGGCTGGGAATGGAAACAAGAGCAGATAACAGCACTCATGCTGTGGGCATGTCTTTACAGGTACCAGCCCGAGCAACCTAACCTGGTATACCAGATGGCCAGAACCACCGATGAGTTGGATCAAGTTGACCAGAATGAGCTGGTCAGCGCCAGTGACTCCCAGACAGGCTTTTTACCAGTAGCCGAGAAGTTTTCTCTGAAAACGGTACTCTCACCCAAGAATCTGGAACCATCCAAATTCTCAGGGCTCATTGTGAATGTATCAGCAAGCCTCCTAGGTAAGATACCCACCTTTTTCCCCGGGAAGGGTTTTGGAGTCTGGCTTCTTGGTGTTGTGTGGTTTCTGGTCCACAGGGATGTGAGTTGGGTTGCAATTGGGGGGTGGGGGTAAATGGAAAAGACGAGTGACAACAGCTTTTCATTGTCATTTAATTCATGACCTGGACACTGGGTCTCCTTCGGAAGATTTGGAAAGATGTATGATACATACGGGGATTCTCCCCCACTCTCCTTTTTTTCTCTTTTAGCTGTTCTTATCATCATCGTGTGCATTGTGGCCGTGCTTGCAAGAGAGGCTCTAGCTGAAGGGACACTGTGGGCAGTCTTTGTGATGACAGGGTCGGTCCTCCTTTGCATGCTGGTGACAGGCATCATCTGGAGACAGCCTGAGAGCAAAACCAAGCTCTCATTTAAGGTGAGCAGCTTGGCAGGCCTGTAGGGAGTATACTGACAGGTCACAGACATTGTTTTTCTGTTGGGAAACTGAGACTTTTTGGCTAAGCCAGACCTGGGAATGTCAGTAGGGGTGGGGGTGGGGATATGGGGTTGTGGATAACTCTTGCCAGCTAAGCTCAGGAACTCTTGGAGCACAAAATGCCATGCTAAGTCAGGGCTTGTCTCTGGAAATAGGAACTTCTCTATCTCCCTGGTCCTCAGTTAGTGGGACACACCTTGCCTCCAAGGGTCTTTTATTAAATGTCCTGATGTCATGGCATTGCTTGGCATTGGAGGTGACCAAGGCATTTGCAGTTGTCAAATAATAGTAACACAGTTTAACCTTGGGAATAAAATGGACAGTCTTCTAGTCCCTTTAGGGGGAACGTGTGGGCAATTCTGTTTGGCGCAGGCTGTTGAGTTTGCCACCCTCATCAGATCTGATACTGCCTCATGTCTCTGCAGGTACCCTTTGTCCCCATACTTCCCATCTTGAGTATCTTCGTGAATGTCTATCTCATGATGCAGCTGGATCAGGGCACATGGGTCCGGTTCGCAGTGTGGATGCTGATAGGTATGTGAGATCATGGGTCTTGCTGAGTGACACACGCCCAGGATCCTAGCATCTCTTGGAGTCTCCTCTGTGGGGTCGCTCCTTCTCCCTGCTGCTTCTTAGCTGGATAGTCAATGCTGCAGAGCCTGCCTCCTTCACCTATGCTAACATAAAGAAACACGGTAATCAGTGTCTTGTTCTAAAACAACATTGAACTCTCGGTATACATTGTAGGACCTCCTTCCTCTTTAAATACTTTTAATAGGCTGTTGCCCAAGACAGTTATCTCACCAAGCTTGATCTTGACCTTTAAAAAGTGTGACGTATGAGTGCTAGTTATTCATAAAGCACCAGTTACTCTAGACTGAAAGTCCGGGCCGTACCTGCTTGGCCAGCACCCGGCCTGTATAGGCTCGAGGCTCTTCAGAGTACCTCTGCTGGCAGGGCAGCACGTGGTGAGGCTTCCTGTCAAGTGGGAGGCTCTTGATGGACTGACAGAAGGCAACCAGGGCTTGATGCTACTTGGTGTCTAGGTACAGTTTAGTCTGGGGTTACCTGCTTGGCAGCCTTCACTAGGGCTGATGGTGTGTGCCCCCACCCCATCCTCCCACTCCAGGCATCTAACGCTGGGGCTATAGGAGCCGGTTTCAGTCCTTTGCATTCAGTGCTTGGGTGGTGGTGCTGACAGCCTTGGGGGAGGAGTCTTGATGTTTATCCTGGGACCATGCCTTTGACAAGCCTTTCAACCCTAGGACCCTGGGAGCCCTGAGTAGCACCTTTCACCTTTTCTTTGTACATCCCAGGAAAAGTTCCTCATTTGCTTTAAAATCCAAGAGCTGCCCACAACCCACTAGGACCCATTTCTTGGTGGGGATGCGTGTTCCCGACATCCCTAAAGAGGTGCCTGTGTTGTAGAGTGTGAAGTCATTTCCTGGACTCCAGGCATCAGAGCCCTTCAGGACTGCATTCCTGTGTAGGTTGCACAGGTGGTCGTCCTGAGCCATGTGGTCATAGTCCCTTGTGGGTAGCTCCAAGCACCCCTGCAGATGTGGGGTCCCTGGGTGCCAGCACAGTGCTCTGCATCCTGTGTTCACTATGTTTCCTGGTGTTGACTGTCTTCTTCAGTCTAAGGGTTACTTATATTTAAAAAAAAAACAAAAACAAAAACAAAAAAACAGTAGGCCAATCTAGGTAGAGTACCTGCTAAAAGTCCCACTCTGTGAAGGAACAGTGTCTCTCAGATACTCTGAGGCCACCTAGTGGCAGACAACAGCCCAACATCCTGCTCCTCAGGGAGGCCATCGTGTGACCACCTACATAGCTTTGACACAGTGGAAGCAGGACAGTGACTGTGGCTGACCTCATCTCTGGGGCCCTGTTTTGCCTCTTGAAGTGTTGGAGTCTGCCTGGGCAGCCCCCGGTGACTCTTAAGCCAGTCTGGGTCTGGCAGTCCAGCCTGCTTTCTTCACACCTCTCTTTCCCTCCCTACCCCGTAGGCTTCAGCATCTACTTCGGTTATGGACTGTGGCACAGTGAGGAGGCGTCCCTGGCTACTGGCCAGGCAAGGACTCCTGACAGCAACTTGGACCAGTGCAAATGACGTGAAGTCCCACCCACCAAGGTGACAGCGGTTGAGGGGTGCCCATAGAGGCCTGGGACCCTCATTCTCTCTCCACCCGTGCTGCAGGATCCGCTCACATCCCCAGCGTCACCAAAGGTGCTGTGAACTGGACTGCAGTCTCAGCCATAGCTGACATAGCCTGGCCAAACAGCCCTGCAGCCAGCTCACCACGTCCTGGCTGCTTCTGGACAGCTCCTTGGTCTCATTTCCCTCTGAACAAAGAAAGCAGCCCTTCTCCCTGCCATCTGCTGCTGCCTCAGCAAAAGGAAGCCCCCTTCTCCTCTTCCTTGGGAAGCAGGCCTCCCTCCCTCCCTGGGACCACCCTGGTATTGCTTATGTGCACACTCCAGACCCTTAGTGGGCATCTCTCTATCAGCCCAGTCAGGACAGACTCCCATCCACAAGATGCAAGATTAGTCCTATGAGACAGCATGTCCCCAGCAGTGCTATCCAGCTGCCAATCAACTGCAGAGGACCTAAAGAAGAGGAACTAACTCTCATCTTACTGCTTCCAGGCTGGGGTGATAGGTTGGGGCCTAGGTCCACACATCCTTTCCCAGCCTCTGTGACACCATGACAGCCCCCAGCATGGTGTAGGTCATTCATCTTGAGCACAGAAGATGGGAGGTCCCTAGAGGACTAGGGAACATTCTCTAGTTCCATTCCTGGCAGGGCTTGGATCTGCTTCTGCTGCTCTTGGCATCTGTTCTCACTGTCCTGAGTCACTGGAACATGAGGTTGTAATAGCAGGGTTGAGTCAGGCTCTTAGGTCTTCTGAGGCTCTTCAGACAGGTGGTAGCTCAATGTGGAGTTGTGACGCTTTTCTGGCCACTGACAAGATCCATGTGGTCTCTTACATCTAAGGAGTGCTGTGGAACCCTCCCATTGCTTGCCATGAATCACTCCACCAGATTAAGTTGGGGCTTAATGTTACCTTGGAAAATGGCCAAATAATTGCCAAATGCTTGGGGTCCTATTGCTATTCTCTTGTGTTCTCTGTCTTTCAAGTGTTGTGGCAGCTTTGCCTGCTGCGGGTGAGATTCCCACCCTGGCCTGGACCTTATGATCCCTGTGTATGCCTGCATTTCCCCTCCCCCACGCCCCTCAACTCTCCGGGTGGGGCATTAGGGCCTGCACTATTTCTCTTACTCTGTGTAGACAAACCAAGGATGATGAGAATGCTAGTGGAGTCTCATTTTAGAGCCATTCAGAGCCCACCCCCAACCCCCCATATTGGGGTGGGGAAGGCCAGTATTTTAGACTATTGTAAATGATGTCTTTGAAGCCTAGCTTTCTTTCTCATCTGGCCTTTGACACAAGTCTGGCAGAAACAGGCAGGATAACCTGATGGCGCTGTCTTCCTCTGCTCTAGAAGGTTCTTGGAAATACAAGATAGCATGTAGCCTACTTACTATATGCTATAGGTATGGCAATTGCCTAGCATTTGCAGGGCCTCAGGTTCCGTCTGCAGGACTACAGAAAATTAGGGAATTAGTGAAACAGCCTGGAGGCTGGATCAGCTAGTGGAAGGTGGCCAATCCAGGCCTTTGTGCAGGGCCCTGACCACCTCTTCCCGGTGCTTTGCCTCACAGGCTGAGAATATTTCAAAGGGAGTGTTGTAAGGCCCTAAAGGTTGGGTTTCCAAAGAAAGGTATTTAAATTTATGTAGATTGGTGCTGTAAAATGTTTTGATAAATATTAACTTATTTTGTTCAGGTCTTGATTATCTGTTGTCTTCTTAGGGCTTGTTAAATACTTGTCTGATTTTTTTTTCCTTGCAATTTTTCTAACTAGACAAAGAGGAAGAGGGTGCCCAGTGAGGTATTGGGAGATTTTTTTTTTTAATTTTAGTTGTTTTTTTTTTTTTTTCTTTAGTTTCTCTTTTGAGATAAGGTTTCACTCTGTAGCTGGCCTGGACTTTGGTTATTGTAGCCCAGGCTAGCCTCTGCCTCAGCCTTCCGAGTGCTAAGATTATAGATATGAGCCAGCACTCCTGCTTCACTGTCATTGCTTTCTGGATGAGACCTTCTGTCTGAGGCAGCCTAACAGTGTGTTTACAGTTGACATTTCAACTAGCAGCTTATAACCCACCAAGCGGGGAGCTGTACGTAGGGGTTTGATCCACCACCATCTCTCCTGAGGACCACTAATGGTGGCAGATCTGCACCTCTATCTCTCACTGTGTGATCTGGAAGCACACACAGGCCCTGGTTGTCGGGGGCTTCCTGTACCCACTCCACAGTCAGGAAAAGATGCTCAAGGGTGACTTGCATAGTAAGTTGATTGGCTGGCCACCATGCTGTCGCTAAAAGTGGACAGTTGCCAGGGGAGCTTTTTGGGGAGGGAGGCACAAAAACAGTGACACACAGAGTACTCCCTGAAGTGAGCCTCCAATATGCTTTTTCTCACATCATCAGTTCCTTCTCCTGAAAGGAAAACACACAAGCCAAAACCCGAAACAAGACACACTAACAAAAATCCCTCAGAACCTAGAAGGTAGCGTCCCATCTCTTAGCCCCCTACCCACTAAAGGTTCTTATTCTGTTGCACAGCTTGGCCAGTATCTCCTACCTAGTTGGGACGCCGGCGTTCTAAAGACAAATTCCCATGCCTTGTTTATCTCCAGCTAGAGTATTCACATTGGAAAGACCTGTTTTTCCATGAGTGTGTGCCCTTCCTGTCTCTGGGTCTAAGACTATGAAGAAGCCAACACCCAGGGAACTCTGCCTAGGAGTGGGGTACAAGATGTCTCCACCTTCCAGAAGGTGGCCTGGTGGGGAGGGGGTGCTGCTTATAGAGACACTGCCCCCACCCCTGTGTATATCCATGGAAGGATGCGTACACTCCCATGCCCATACCCCATCTCTGCCCACACCCTACAGCCAGCCATTGTGGGTCTACTTTGCAAACAAAGAAAAAGTAGAGTCCTGTCCCAGATAGTTCTCGAGGTTTATACTGTTCTTGGTTGCTCACAGTTTGGTTTTTATGGTGGCAAACACCCCATCATCTCATACCTTCATCTGATAGCCATCCAGTCCCCTGTGCTGATGACCATCCGCCTCAGGCTTGGTGGCCAGAAGTGACTGCAGGACTGTGCAAGACATTAGGCTTCTCCAACTGCCCTTAGTGACCAAGGGTTGGATACACTCCCTCCTGCACATTTGGCTCAGCCAGTGTGCACACCAAGAAAGTATGTAGCCCACTCCACCCTGTCTACCGCCTGCTGCTTTTCATGCACAGGGCTGGGAAAACCAGTGGGTATGTTTGTTCCTTGCCCCCTGACCCCAGGCAGACATTCTGAATTGGCCAGTGTTTACAGTCCCTCCTATCGAGGAACTCACCTAATACAGGATGAAGCTTGGAAACAGCAGTGTGAGAAACTGGTTCCTGGGATACACGGGCATGTCCCACAGGTCCACCCATACCTGTAGGCAAAGTCACAGGCACTGCTGGCCTGTGTACCTACAATGAAAAAACGCCTGGCTTTCACTGAGGCCCATCCTTTCTGACTTGAATGCCCCATGTCCCCGCAGATCTTTCTAATAAGAGCTAACTGTTCTGTTGGCACCTGAGCACTAGGGGATCTAAGTGCCAGGGTGCCCATTCCTTGGGGTGTTGGCAGGCGGTGGGCAAAGGAAGTTTGAGTCCACATCTGGTTGAGCTCCTAGCAAAGGGAGTCACTGGACAGAATACACAACACATGGAACTGTTACAGAATTCAAATTCAGAACTGAATGTATGTTATGTACAGTTATTTTATGTAATTCAAACCTTATGTTTGCTATTGTAATGAGATTGTATACAAGGCTCCTTGGGGGAGAGCAAGCTGTCTATTTCATTAGGCTTGTTTTTGGGTCACAGTAGTGACACAATGGTGGGGGTACAAATTGCTACACTCCTTAGGCCAATTTGGTCATGATGGATTTTTTTTTTTAAGGCAAAAAAAGTTTTACAGCTGGTTCTCACCTCCCTCACTCTAATCCGGTCTTTTTGTACCCACTGCTCCATTGAGCTGGGGAATATGGTGTGGCCAAGGGTCTTGGGACATAGTGACCAAGGAGTCCTCCTGAACCATTCTGTTACATGTGTTGAATGGCTGGCTAAAAAGCCCAGGGGAGATGAAAGACCACATCCATACATATTCTCAGGGCGCTGGCATGTCCAGCAGGGCCAGGAAGCAAGGTTTAGGAAGACATATATGGACTAATTTATTGACAAGGGTTACCTTTGTGTTCCTTGCCAAGCTTTTTGAGTTTGGGACTTATTTTCCCATTTGAGAAGTTATAATATATATATATATATATGTATGTATATATTTAAGAAATTTCCTGCTTCGTTTGTGCCTTGCAGCTTCGATGAGTTAAGGATCACAAAGGGTCATGATACTGATGAGGGTTGGTTTATTATCAAACCTGAATAGTCGTGGTTTCTCTGGGACAACTTTTTTTCCTTCTACTGAACATGGAGCCATTGTTAAAAGAATTGTGTGGTTTTTTTTTTCATTATGTAAATTGTATATATCTTTTTGCTTGTTTGAGGTTCTATTTTTCTAATAGTCTTCTTGCAGTTTCTTATAATGGTGACATTAGATTAACTCTGATGCTAACTGTAAATCAAGCTGGTCTCTGCTGGATTCCCGTGGTTTAATTATAGTTTATTTTAAGGCCAAGCGCAGGTTCATCCATCACCTTTTTAAAAAATGTGAACCTTATGTTTCCCCTCGTTGCTGAATACATTGTACACTGGCAACCCCCTCTGATATGCCTGTGTCGTAAACCCAAAGCTATTTTGTGGTACATTATCTCATGCTTCTGCAGATGCTAATAAATCCTGTCTGACTTTCCATGCGCACGGTGTGATCTCAGGTGTGCTAGCAGCTCTTGGCTGGTTCCCGAGAATGTTCCAGTCTGAAGGTCAAGGGCCCGCTTGGCGCCTTCAGTGTCTTTCCACTGCATTGCACATGGCTGGGGGCTCTACTACTATGGCCTCGGTTGTTCTAGAAGCCATTTGGGAAAGTCTTTAGGCCTGTCCTTCTAGATCCTTGCTGTCTCCTGACTTCAGCCCTCCAGACTTACCTGGGTTCAGGGCTGCAGAGTTCACCAGCCATCGATCTGAAACTAGAGGACTTTGGTCTCAGCAAACCCCCTCAGCCACACCAGCCTGGAGGAAACAGGTTTTGTGCAGAGCCCAGGCTGGGGATAAGATTGTAACTCATCTAAGGATGAGTGAGCCGGGCGGTGGTGGAGTACACCTTTAATCTCAGCACTCGGGAGGCAGAGGCAGGCAGATCTCCGTGAATTCGAGACCAGCCTGGTCTACAAGAGCTAGTTCCAGGACAGCCTCCAAAGCCATAGAGAAACCCTGTCTCCGGGGGGGAAAAAAAAAAAAAAGGGAAGGGCACACCATTCATTCATTCATTCATTCATTCACTCATTCATTTGTGGCACAGGAGGCAAGTTCAGCCAATTGGGCTTTCAGGCCCTACATGGAGAACAGCGATTCATATTCTAGAATGGGGCTGGAAGCTAAGCTTTAACCTTTGTGTTTTCCCAGGTGATAGTGGGAAGCAGCAGGCACCCAGGGGTGTAATTCTGGCACCAGAAATAAGTGTAAGGAATCTGTAATCTGTAAGGGTGCAGGTAACACATCCGGTGTTCCTCAACTGAAAGGAAAAGTATTGGCTCAGGACTCCCAAGACCAACTTCTCAGTACAAGGGAGATTTATTTGCCCCAGACGGAGAGGGAAAGGGGTGTTTATCCCAGAGGTGGGAAGGACTGACTCTGTATACAGGGGAGACAACTGTGGCCCATAGGCAAATGGCAGTTTATAATGGTAAAATGGGAAACACCATGCTAGGATGAGGTGTGTAATTTTAATTGGACATACTAATTAGGTGAGCCAGAGGGCGCTTTTTGATTGTTCGATTTCAATACTTTGATAGCTGGACCTTGGTAGTCAGCCTCAGGAGGATGGATTGGCCAAATAAAGAAACACCTTGGTGGCTAGCTTTAGGAATGTAATCTAAGGGTTCTTACCAAGGCAGAGGGAATGGGGAGAAGGGCAAGGCCTGCCAGAACCACATGCTCCAGTGAGCTAGCGTCCCTTCGTTCATTGATCACCTGGGGAAGCAGACCCAGGAGCTTGGGCAGTGTGGAAACAATGATGCGCAGTATTGGGGATACAGGGCACCTCTACTGTGGTGCAGTTACTGTTGGATACAGCTGGAGGTGGGGCAGGGAGGACAAGAATTATTCCAGTCCCATCTCACAGAAGTCACCCCAGGGAATACCCCATGCATTCTGGAACCTGAAGTTCTGTAAGAAAGAAGCTGTCAGCAAAGCGTGGAGATGCACACCTTTAATTCCACCATTCGGGAGGCAGAGGCAGGTGGATTTCTGTGAGTTCAAGCCAACCTGGTCTATAATCCCCCAAAAGCTACCACTTCTGGCCAGTTTGAATTGGGCTAAATATGGGCCCTGGTTCCTGCAGCTCCCCAGTGCCATCTAGAGGGTGACATTAGGTGTTACACTCATAGCCTTTAAAAGCATGCAAAGGCACCAGCAATTTTCAGAAAACCCTTTCTATTGTGAGGTCCGGATGGAACATCTTGTGAAGCCAACTTCCCCTCGCCCTGTTTCATTACGAAGCACTTCCAGTGAGTCCTATCTGCTCCCTTGTGGCTCAGTATTTTAGGATCTGGAGAATCTGTATGGCCCCATAACCTAGGGAGCTGCCTTAACTTTCATTTACATCTGCCAACTACACAGACCTGGGCAGAGTATAAGGCTGCAGGGGGCGGGGCATGACTGTTGTAGCCTATCAGCCCCTGATCAAAGGGAGTCCTTTCATGTCCCCGAGTTAAACTCATCCAGCAGGCTAGAAACACAGTCTGCATGTGCACAAGTGCACAGTTGAGGCAGACCCCAGAGTGGGCAGGCTCCGGACCTGATCACCATGTGTGAGGACCCAGAGACGACCATTCACTAACGTAGCACCTGTTTTAAGAACTCCCTAAAACGCTAACCATTGGGAGGGTGCCATCCGATGCCTGGGTTCCTACATGGCATGAGACAGATCTCCCACTCAGGTGAGCCAGGATCATCAAGGCTCCTTGGTTCAGAAAAGGTGATGAGGGGTTGGAGTCCCAAGTTTCCTCTATCTGCAATGAATCGGCCACAGGAGGGAACACAGTTTCCCACAACTGGTGTCAATCTTATTTCCTGAACGTGCCAGGGGCTGAGTCACCACCCTTTGTAGATGCTGGGATCAGCCATGTTTACCACCCAGGGTGGGGATGAAGACAGTGGATAGTGGCTACTAAAATGTGGGGGGCACTCTGTATCCCTGGAGAAACCAAAAGTTTAGGACATAGTGCATTATCAGTAGGTTTCTGTTGACAATTAGGGAAGCTTGGCTGACTGCAGGGGACCCTGGGGGTTCATCATGAGGTCAAGAAGTGACATGAACACAGGGACCACTAGTCAGCTACTGCTTGAAAGAGCAGACTCATGGTCTCCCCGCCATTCCCACACACTTAACCAAAATGAATACAGGGAACTGGAAAATTCAGATCTCCCTTGTGACCCTCAAGCAATGCCGAGCACCTGTGAGACTCTAGGGTCAGGCTAGGTTGAGCAAACTGGCCACAACCCACATTGGAAGGCTGGTGAGATGGGAAGAGCGGCTGATTTCGGACTGGAATAAGTAAACGCGTAAAAGAATAAGCACATGTGATCATGTATTTGAGTGCTTGGTCCCCAGTTGGTGGACTGTTGGGAAGGCACACAGATAAGTCCTGGAGCAGAGGAGTCAGAAGACTTTTCTTGGATTTCCTTGCTTCCTTGTCTGTCATCCCAAGCCTGAATGGGACATGTCTGTAGCTCCACACATCACATGGATATCATGGAAAATCTCTCAGGTTTGTTTTAATAAGCTTTAGAGTTCAACACAAATATGGAACACAGAAACTGGAGGGGCAAGAAAAAGAACATTGTGCCCCTTCAATTAATCCCAGAGTACTGGACTCCAAGTCCCACCCCCATCCTGACATCACCACTACCTGTTCCCAGCCCATGGCAAGTGAGTAGGGGCAGGCCAGGAGGATCTCCTGACTCCATAAAGACCCTACAAGTGTTTGACAGGTCCATCTGTGGCAGGAGGGGAGGACACAGTGTCCTAGCCTAGGGACGAGGACAGACACAGATTCCCACGCTGAGAGGTCCAGGTCATAGCAGCATGGAGACAGAAGGATCATGGAAGAGGCACAGCAGCTCTGGCCACCCGGATCTCAGGACTCAGTTCAAGTGGGGCACCATACGTGAGAGGTGTCTGTGATGGAGAAACAAAGCCAGGGCCATGGGGAAATTTGTTCAAGTGCCCAAGGTCGAGGCTGATTAGGGCAAAGCTCTAGTCCACCTAACGAGGGTACATAGTTCTAACACTGCTATCACTTGGACCACAACAGCCTAACATACTGTACCACATTCTATACTCACATCAAAGTCTGTATTGCTGAGCACCCGCCATCAGCAGGTACAGCTGTGGAGGCGGGTCCTAATTTGGAGAGCTAAGCAGCCACCCAAATTATGTCTGCAGGTTGTGCCTGCTAAAAGGATAAAGAACTGTGCATTGAACTGACAGGCATGAGCTACTCTTATGGAATGCCCAACTCAGTATCCCAGTATCATGCAGAGCCAAAGGAAGAGGACCTGTTTTCTTCAATGTGTATCTACTGTGTACGTCTCCAGAATGGGCAAGACCCTTGGAGGTTGCTATAGTCAGATGCACTTGAGACCAGGAAGCCCAACTTGGAGCCACAGGAGGGATGCAGACCACATTTGCCTCAGTGTCCTTGGACAAGATGACACCGTCCCCAGGCAGTTTCTTCCTGGTTCAATGGCTCTTCTCATCTAGGGCATGCTCAGACAGGCCCATGCTTAGGAAGTGAAGGGTCTTTGTCACATAAGGAAACAAAGGTATCATTATCACCACTGAATTGACTGATACAACTACTTCTCTTCTGTGGATCATGCTTCTAATCTTCCATAGCACTACATGAATACCTTTCATGTTCTAATTCTACCGTCTTAGAGACAAAGACCAGTCCAGCGGCTGCTGGCCACTGGCTGGCTGTTACACTGGCCTCCCTTATTTGGGAGGGCCTTTTGGGATTAAGATGGGACCACAGCCAGGTGCAGCCCTGGTGACCCTCCATCAGAAAGGACATGATCTAGCACCTTTAGAACCGGCTCCCCCAACCCCCATCCCCAGACAGAAAGGTTGGTTTCTGGAAGCCCTGACTAGAACCCCTGAGCCATCTTGATGTGTGCTGATGGGGCTGAGTCAAAGAATCAAACTGAAGATGGGGAGTGTTGCCCGTGAAGGGCAATGACCGGAAGACACGTCCTTATTCTGTGCCTGGTCAAACATGGCCCCTATGAGCATTCTTCCTTCATTAGGATGGGCTATGCACGGTCTTGATTTTCTCCAAGTTCATGCTCATCCTTACTACAAAGGTCACACTCCTCCGTGTCTTCCTGAGATTGCAATAATAGCTTGATGATGAACTCCAAGATGCTGTTTAGGGGGTGGGAGAAAGCTAAATTGGTGTTTTCAAAACCATAATGAATTACTAAGGGGAAAAACATGGGCCAAACCACTCGACCCGTCAGTGTTTCCCCTGTTACGTTTCATCTCTCAGGATGGGAGGGGGCACAATTAAATCCTGCAATGTGGTAACAGGGACCCCACCTCACATGGACTAAGAAGCTAATTGCTCCAAAGGCAGTTACCGTCTACAAATCGCTGGTGTTTATGTTAAGCAGGGTATCACCTGGCGGCAGATAGACGTGCTTCTACCTTTTTTTTTTTTTTTCATTTTTTTCTTCTCTATTTTGGGTAGAAATATTTTCAGGAAACTAGATAGAAATGCACGTTCATTTCCCAATAATTCTTAGGCACAACTTACAAAACTGCTGACCGTCACTAAAATATGTCAGCGCATCATGTTATAAAAAATGCAATTCAGAATCGCCACATGTGTATACCCACATGTCTGAATATACCCAAGCGGTAGTACAAGGAGGGTTCTGTGCATTCAAAACGGAGCTGTTTGCAACTGACCTATACCTTTGTTGTGAAAGTTCATCTCTCAAGAACAATGGGAGTTGCTTCTCTTTTGCCTCTAACTACACTAAAACATTTTTGGACACAGGACTCTGCTGCCTACACCTTTCTAAGTGCCAACCAATACCAGGACGGTCTCACACAGGGGTCAGAGAGGACGCTGCTAAGATGTATATGCAGCTACTGAGCATGCGCACAGGGCGGCCACCAGCACCTGGCCAGCACTCCCTCCGATGGACAGAAGCCTGAGCTCCTGTAGGTGGCAAAGCGATGTCATCTAGGTGTGGTGCTGACTCTGGCTGGAGAGGAGGGTCCAGAGGAAGAGCCTCTGTACACCGGGGATGTCGGGGACAATTTAATCGGGCTGGTTGGGTCCCCTGTTTGGAGTTTCCAAAGTAGTTCTTCATTGGTTCTGCTCAGTCTCTTCTTTTCCTGGGTCTCTTTCTCCACGTATTCCTGGAGATTAGCATTTTCCTCTGACAGTTGTCTGCATGGGGGAGAATGATGGTCAGGTAACAGACCTACCAGTGATAATCAAAGCAGGGTGCTGGGAAGAGGACAGGGGCCATACCTCACAGCTCACAGCTCTCTGCTGGGCTAGGGGAGGTGGTGCTTGTGCTCAGGGTAAAGTCTAGGGGCTGGAGTACAACAGAGGGAGATGGTAGGCAGTATGGGCATGCTGCTAGAGGCCCATAGGAAAGCCTGCCTTATAGAGATGGAGACTGCCCATGGCTATGGTCAGGGTACTGACTGACAGCTGCCAATCAGCTGGGGATATCTTCCCATTATCTCCTGCCCTGGGTCCATGCTTCTGTGACCAAAGTCTTTAGCTCTTCTGTGGAGCTACCTGTCTGCTGGACCACAAGCCCTAGAGAGCAAGATCAAGGCTCTGTTACCTTCTTGGCTGCCATTCAGCATGGTACCCAAAACCAGATGCCTTCTCACTGTTTGCTAATAAAGGGGAAAGAAAATCCAATTCTCTCTCTCTCTCTCTCTCTCTCTCTCTCTCTCTCTCTCTCTCTCCCCCCCCCCCCCCCCTCACCCTCCTCCCCTCTCCTCTCCTCCCCCTCTCATTCTGCCAGCTCCCTCTCCCCTACTCTCATGCTTCCAAATTAGCTCATGAGATCCTGCCTGTTCATGTAATGTCATAATGCTTAAGCTGCTGACTTTGTTGCATGTTTTTAATACTTTAAAAAAATTATATGTATAGGTGGTCTGCCTGCATGCATGTCTGAGAGCCACTTGTTTGCAGTGCCTTTGGAGGCCAGAAGAAGGTGTTGGATCCCCTGGAACTAGAGTCACAGAGGGTTGTGAGCAGCTATCTGGGTGCCAGGAATCAAACTTGAGTCCTCTTGAAGAGCAGCCAGTGCTCTTAACCACTGAATCACCTGTCTAGTTCATTTTGTATTTTTAACAATGACAGCCTCTTCAAGGAATTAGCATGACGTACAAACACATTTTACAACTGGATAGGTTAAAGTCCAGAAATGGTACTCTGGGCCAACACCTGCACTTGCTATCTGAGGAAGGTGGCTAGGTATGTGTGGACATGTGAATAGGTGGTGTGTAAATGAGTGCATATGTGTGAGAGTATGGGTGTGAATATGAGTGTAGGTGTGAGCATGTGTGTGTATGACTACACAGGAGTGTGTACACAGGAGTGTGTGCACATGGGCTTGTGTGTATATGCACAGGACGATACATAACGGCTGCATGGAGGAGACTGGTCCAGCTGAGAGCGGAAGGGCTCAGGCCTGAATCTCATTAGTGATGTAGAATAATCTTTTATACTGTAAAGCTGTGTCTAAGCCAAGGCACCTTCTAATTGGTTTAACAAAGAGCCGAATGGCCAATAGTTAGGCAGGAGAGGTTAGGTGGGACTTCCAGGAAGAGAGAGAGGAAGAGGAGATGAATCCAGGTGCCAGAAAGATGCCGGAGGACGTGAAGAGGAAACAGGAGGTTCAAGATGGAAGAGAGGTAAAAAGCCATGAAGCAAAACATAGATTAATATAAATGGGTTAATTAAGTTATAAGAGCTAGTGGGAGAAGCCTAAGCTATAGGCCCGGCTTTTAGAATAAATAATAAGCCTGTGCCATTTTGTGTGTGTGTGTGGGGGGGGGGCAGGAGAGCTGGCTGGCGGGACAGAAAGTGACTGGTTACACACTAGAGTGACTTAGCCTTGCTGAACAAAATAACCTCCAGCTGGCCTCCAAGCTCTGTTTTCACCCCACTACTGGGGTCAAGGGGGATTCCTGATCCTTCCTTGAAAGCAAGGCTCCTGAGAAAAGATCCTGCAGGGACAAGCTAACCTGAGCTCTGGGAATCTACCTAGCCATGGTTCTTTTTAGCCCAGGGACACCCTGCTGATGCCCCTCTCCCAATCTCCAGGAAGCAATCACAGCCCCTTCTGTGGAGCCCCTGCTGTCCTTGCTTGTGGTCGGAACTGTCTTGTCCTAGCGGATGGGGCAGGTGTGACGTACAGCCAGGATGTACACTGAGGGGACACAGCCATGTGCTTTTCTTTTGCTCATTTGAGAGGCATCGGATTATTCAGGCTGAACACGGGGACATGCAGATTTTCAAGGACATGGAATCAGCAGCCAGGGGCACCCACCTGGTGACAACTGTGTTCTGGTCAATCCTGGCTTTGAGGTCTTCATTCTGCTGCTGGAGAACTTGGATCTTTTCTTCTAGGATGATATTCTTCTCCACCTAGGAGAGGGACACCACTGAAGGAACTCCCACAGGCCAGCAGCGAGCCAGCGGCCCTGGCTTCTACACTTGGGAGGATTGCCAGGAACAGTAAGTACTTCACTAACTGCTCTCCTCAATGGCCTTGTGGGCTGGAAAGTCAGATGAAATGGATAAGGGGCCAGCATTTTGCTTTTCAAAAAAAGGGAAGAGAAAATGTCAGACTGCACTGTAGGTAGTAAAAAGCCCTGTGGTACTCAGGTGGTAGAGGCAGGAGGATCACAAGTTTCAGACCAGCATGGACTATACAGCAAGACCCTAGCCGGAAAAACAAAAGCAAAACAAATAAGCTGTTCATTGGAAGTGGGCTATAGAACATTGTATAAGACAAAATATGGTGTGTGTGTGTGTGTGTGTGTGTGTGTGTGTGTGTGTGTATGGGGGGTATCAAGATACACCTCTAAGAAGTGTTAATAGTAGAAGGAATGTGATTTTTTTTTTGGTTTTGTTTTCTTGAGACAGGCTTATCTCTGTTTATCCCTGGCTGTCCTGGAACTCAACTGTGTAGACCAGGCTGGCCTTGAACTCACAAAGATCCACCTGCCTCTGCCTCCAGAGTGCTGGGATTAAAGGTGGGGCTAGACTATATCTTAATTTTCTTATTTTTGTTTATGTTATAATTTCCTATAATGTCCTTTCTTCTTCTTTTGTAGTAGCAAATAATTATTTTAAAATAATAAACAAAGGGGTCTGGAGAGATGGCTCAGCCACTAAAAACATGTATGGCTCTTGTGGACCTGAATTTGGTTCCCAGCACACATGTCAGGCAGCTCATGATCAATCACCTGTAACTCTAGCTCCAGGGGGATCTTCTGGCCTCAGTAGGCACGACACTCACATGCATATACCGGCACACAGTCATGAACATAGAGACATAATTTTTAAAAACTCTAAAAATAATAATAAAGAAAAAAATAATAAACTATTTAAGGCTTTGGGCCTTGCATAGGTCAGTATCTCCAAACCGTGAATTCCTTTCAGGAACACTAGTCCTTACCTGGGTCTTGGGCCTCTAGGAGGGGGCAAAACATGGCTCTGTTTCCCTAGGGGTTTCCCTGGGCTAGTTCCCAGGAACCAAGCAGAGGACTGAGGTCCAAAGCCTTTATTATAAACTGGATGCTCCTACCCCTCCTCGGGAGCTATGCTGAAGCCCCTTCTCTGAGGTGACAGTACCAGGATGTAGGGTCTTTGGAGGTGACTGGCTCACGAGGGTGGACCCCCATGACTGAGATCTCTGCTCCTTCTGCCACGAGAGGATTTGGGGACTTTCCTCCAGGGATGCCACGTGGGTTCAACCACTCACAGTCTGGGTGCAACTGTCCTTTCTGAGGCTTCTCTCTTGTGCTCATGGCAGCACAGGTGAGCTATTGGAAAGGAAGGACAGAGCTTTGCCCAGGCCTGGTGCATAGCAGTGATGGACAGTTCCTGTGCCGCCTCGGTGGTGGAAGGACATGGCAAAGACGGGTGAATTAACAAAAGGAGGCACTGGGGCTCCTTTTCAGAAGTCTTGCTGTGTGACAAGGGCTTCCAGGCACATCTGTGTGTCCTGTTCACTTGTGAGCAATAAGCAGCGGGGACATGCCTCCTGAGCACTGTCATCGGTGAGGACACTGAGTCACAGCGGTCAGGCTCTGGAGCAAGCAGACCAACTCACCAGCTTTTCCAGCTCTATGATCTTCTTCTCCTGCAGGTGGATTTGCTGGTTCTTCATCTCCAACACCTGCTTCAGGCTCTGCATATCTTCTTCCAGGTGCTGATACGGAGCCAATGCAATCTACGAGGGCAGAGAGGGTGCACTTTATGTCAGGTTCCTGGGTGAAGCCCACCGCGACCCAAGGTTACGAACCGGCTCGGTGTGGTGTTGCCATGCTCCCTCCAGTGTGTGGCCACAGCATCTGTGAGGGAGCAGGAACCAGCACCTCCGATGGGGACTTCCTGGGATAACATATGCTCTGAACATCCTTCCAGGGGGCTTGATTAATGGGGCTCTAGGTCCTCACCAGAGACCTATACATAGTCCCCATCAGCTCGTGCATAGGAAATAAGCCAAATGGTTTAAAAAGCAATGTGGATGGGGAGATCTCACAGGGCCTCGTCCCTGGATGAAGAGCTATGGGAAGTCAAGGACTACTGAGAGAGGGAGAGTCAGTCTTCTCCAGGAATGAGCCCCCTGATAGGTTCTCCAATCCCAAGTGGTCAGCCCCAAGCACATGTACATACAAGCAACACTGGGTGGACTTGGCAGGTTCTGTCTGTCTGTCACAATAATGATCAAAGTTGAAGAGGGCATGGAGGAGTTGGGGTGGAAGAGTGTGGAGTGGAAACGATGCAAATGTAGTATTCATTCAGGGATGGCATTCTAACAATAATAAATGTTAAGGAAAAATTATACTTGTTCATTGTATTAAAGATACTGTTCCCTGGTTGTTGGTTTTTTTTTAAGCTATTTATGAGAATGAGGCATTAGGGTTGGTGGATGTAAGCAGTAAAAAGGAGGGACATCAGGTGGGGGGGGGGCTGGAGAGATGGCTCAGAGGTTAAGAGCACTGACTGCTCTTCCAGAGGTCCTGAGTTCAATTCCCAGCAACCACATGGTGGTTCGCAACCATCCGTTATGAGATCTGGTGCCCTCTTCTGGTGTGCAGATATACATGGAAGCAGAATGTTGTATACATAATAAATAAATAAAATCTTTAAAAAAAAAGGCGGGACATCAATTGGAACTGGAATTTCAGGCAGACAACATTGAAAAAATTCAAGCTAGCTGTGGCAGCTTAGGCTTGTAATCCTAGCCACTCAAAGAGGCAGAGGCAGAAGGATGGAACGTTCAAAACCAACCTAGGCAGTTTCGTGAGACTCTCTCAAAATGTGGAGGGGGGAGTTAGAGATTTGGCTCAGCACTTGCCTAGCACTCATGAAGCCCTAGGCTCAATCCACAACACCACCCGGTAAAAACAACATATTATTTCAGTAGGAGATGCTCATTCTCAACTTTCACCTATTGCCAACACCACCAGATGGTAGATTTTCCAGATATTCTTGAAAAACATTACCTTCAATCTTATAACTCACACCTTAGCTGCCCTGTCCTGTGCGAGCCTAAAGTGAAGTTGGAGAAGCAGGAGGTGGGCTGTGTCCAGCCAGAGAGTTTACATCATAGGCACCCAGGGACCCTGCCTGAGGAGTGCTGTGGGATTTGGCAGAAATGGCAGGTTGCTGGAGAGCCCCGTGGTTATGGTCTGTCTGTTTCCAAGAGAGGTGCTGGCAGGTACTGTGTAAACATCCCAACGAAGTTGAGACCAGCCTTCTCTGCAGCAGCAGCTTTCAGTATGGAGGCCTCGTCCTTAGACTGCAGAGGAAGCCAGCTCATGTCCCCACCTACTGGGTGGCCTAGGCAGCCATTACTACCTCCAGCTGTTCCTCCGTGGTCTTCCTCAGCGCTTCCTCAAAACGCTGGGCTCTGTCCCGCAGAGATTGGCTCTGAAAAGTCAGCGTGTCCACCTGGTCCTGCAAGTGACAAAAAGAGATGTTCCCCCAGGGGCCACATGGATGGACACTGTGGACTGGGCAGCCAGGGGTGGGTGTGCCAGTTAGTTTTCATCATCTGGACACAAGTTGGGAAGGGAGAATTTCAATTGAATTGCCTCCATTGGATTGTCTGTGTGCTATTTTCTCCAGTAATGATTAATGTGGCTGGGCCCAGCCCATTGTGGGTGGAGCCATCCCTAAGCAGATGGTCCTGGGCTGTATAACAGATAGCTGAGCAAGCCAGAACAGTAGTACTCTGTGGTCTCTGCATCAGTGCCCACCTCTAGGTTTCTGCCTTGAGTTCCTGTCTTGGCTTCCCCCAGTGATAAGCTGTAACCTGTCAGCCAACAAATCCTTTCCTCCCCAAGTTGCTTTGGGTCAGTGTTTTATCACAGCAACAGAAAAGCAAACATGGGAGACAACCGGCTGCTCTTCACCAGGATGCCCGAAATTCAGGTTCACTGCTGAAACGCAACTGATCTTTCTGACTTCAGGCAGGGCTGCTCTATGAGGTCCAATTCTCTCCCCACTAGACCAGCAGCCCTGCCTTGTGGCAGCAGTCTGTGTGTGCTGAAGGGATGAAGGCATGCCTATGGTACATTCAGCTCTTGTTTGGTGGGCTTCAGATCAAATGTGGCTAAGGAGACCCTCTCACCTAACCTCAGCCACAGTGAAGGTGATGTCACCACAGCACAAGAAGGGTGCTTGCCAGTGGCTCTGAGCTCTCTATGACTAAAGAGCACCTCTTCCTCTACAGATCACTTACTGAGGAGCCCACAGGTCACCTCAATGGCTCCATTTCTGCTGGATTAAAACACAGGGGCCAGGGCCTCTCATGAACTCCTCTGGCAAGAGACTCGGCCTCCATCAGTGATCAGGAGCTAGGACTTGCAAATAAGGTGACTTTGCACACCAGCCCCACCAGTGGGCCAGCCGAATGTGCCAGCCCCCAGGGATGCTTTTTTCATTCACCATGGCAAACAGCCTTGGTTTTCAAACTGCCCTGGGCAGGTTCATTTCCCTCTCTTCCAGTTACTTGCCTTTCATATTTAAGAAACAAAAGCCCCTATATCGACGTTAAAAGCACATGGGGATGATATAGCTGCCACTGGGAGTTTGTGCTCACATGAGCTAAGGGGTGGAAATGTCAGTTTTGAAGAAGCTCCTCTGGGCCAGCACTGGGCTATGACACCATTGCCTTTACCTTCCAGAATGGAATATAAAATGTCTCCCACATCATACTTCTCAGGAGTTACTTAAGGAACACACACACTCTCTCTCCCAGGGCTGGAATTAAAGGTGTGTGTCACCACCACCCAGCAGGAAGTATCTCTTGTAAGCCTCTTTCCCACCATTAAAAACCCAAACAATACAAAAGTCTAAACAATCACTACCCAGGATGGATCTATACCACCCAACTGACATCTTTCTGCCTTGTTCACTATTCAAAACAGACTTGCAGGGACGGAAGGACTCTGCAGTGGTCAAGACAGGATGGAATGATTTTCAGCCCGGGTTGGCTACTTTACATCATTCTATTGGTGTGGCCCAGCACAGGCCTCTCAGAAGTCAGCAAATGGTATACTAATAATAAACATCACACTGCTGGGGTTGCTTGTAGCAGCTGTTTCTCCTCCTCGGCTCTCACTACAAACCAGCCCAGTTTTGTTCTGCCTCACATCTTGCTTTCCTTCATCTGCACATGTCTTGAGGAAGTTATGTTATCCCCATTTTACAGGTAAATAACTGAGGTTGGCAGAGGGCACATTGTTATCCCAGATCTAGAGCCAGAAAGAACTGGCAGAGTGGAGGTTTGAATCTCTAACTGCCCAAATGAGCAGTTTCTCTGGCTGTTTAGTAGCATTAGGAAGTTGGCTTCAGTGATTCTATCTTTCACACACCAATATCTGGCTCAAAAAGTTTCTGCTTGGTGGAGAGTTACAGAATTGCATGGCCTTTGGGTGCCAGGGTAGAAAGGACTCGGTGACATGCTAGACAAGCACTCTGCTGTTGAGTTGCACTCCAGAACATGTTATCTGCAGTGTTATCTCTGTGACCCTGGACTCTTTCCGTGTGGGATGGACTTATTGTGACAGAGATGTCACTAAAGAAGCAAGATTCTCGCATACACGTTATAGTCATGGGAACAGTCTTCCCAATTTCCAGACACTCGTGACCGTGACATTTAAAAAGCCGTCATCTCTAGTCAAGCTCTCCCCAACTGGGATCAGGGCTGGGCTGTCCCGTTGCCGTGGCTTCCCAGGCAGCTGGCTCTAACACTGGAGCTGCTGCTGGCCTTTCAAAGGCAGTTGGCTGGTCTCTAGGTGGCAGGAGGGAAATGAACATGCCTAGGACACTCCACACTCCCCCCTGAAGACCAGGAGGAAGCCAGGCAGCTCAGCTGCCATGAGACCAACACTGTCCCTCAGGCGACAGTGAAAGGCAGCAAGGGTGTTTTTCATCCTGCCCATCTCCAGGTAAACGCCCAGGGCGTGGTCGACCAATTCCCACCTTTGCAACATCACTCTTGTCTAGAATTTTCTCTTCCTACCTCCACCCCACTTTTCAGGCATCTCTGACACAGTAAATGCCCATTAACTTCATTAGTGTTCTCTGACTGCATTATTCATGAGGCACAAGGGGCTTCTTGGTGCTTTCACAGTTTCCCCACAGCTCTGTCAGGAGAGAACCAACTTCTAAAGGATGGGGGATATGTTTCCTTTGTCTCCATATTCCAGTACATAGCAGGGGTCAAATAAATGTTTGCAAGTGAGATAATGCTGTGGTTGTTCACCAGCTTAAGGAAATACTAACCTGTAATGACAGTCGAAGTTTTTCAAAGTTTTCTTCCAATTCCTTCTTCTCAAATTCATGGGTAGCCATCAATTCTGGAAAGAAAAAAAAAAAATCAAATCGCTAAGTGGGCCTTTCTTTTGAAAAGCATGAAACAAGACTGTTTGGGCAGGTGAGGACACGTGACTAGGGGACACAAATGATGGACGGCTACAGTAGATTCAAGGTTTCCTCTGCTCATGTGAAATTGACTGTGGTGATACCAATGTGGCTTCTGAGAGAAAGGAAGAAGTGAGCGGGGAAAAAGAGAGATGAGGGAGGGGAAGGAAGGAAAGAGGGAAAGCGCACACGTGTGCGTCAGTGTTTGCACACACACACGTGTGTCTGCTGCACCATCTTGGCCATGTGAGAGCCTTTGTCAACAGCACCATACCCTACCTTTGCTAATAGTGAAACTGGTGATATTCTTTCGTTCCCGGGATTTGCCCTCCCAGCTTCAAAGCATCCATGTCGGGCTGAGGAAAGAGCTTTCCAAGTACCGTGCAACTGGAGGAGACTCTTGCCAACCATGCTTGATGCCAGATTCACAAGAGGAATCAGTGCTGTGTCAACAAGGACATCTGGTGGCCTCTGGGCCACCCTCTGTGGACTAGAGGATTTACTTGAACAAAGACTGGTTATAAGACACTTGGCCTGAAGGAAAGGTTGACTGCTCTGTCTCTCTTGGGGGGTGGGGTGGGGGAGATAACCATGCTCTGTGTAAAGCCAAATCCAGACGAAACTTACAGGTTACGCAGGTGAAGGTGATGGAGGTGATGAAGGTGGCATGGGTGTTGTAGATGTTAAGCAAATGTATTCTGTTCCCTCCAGATAGGAAGAGTCTTATCAGATGGGTGAGGCTCATCTCACCCTGGCTAGACTAGCAATTTGTTTTCCTGGTATGATAGATGTGTGTTGGTCTCCTTAATCTGCCTAGGTCCTGTTCTTGGAACGAGAGAGTCCTGGATACTAGCAATTACCATTTGGACCACCGAGAACTGTAATTAGGAAAATGTGTATGGTTTCCATCATCTCAGGTCTTTAACTATGGTGACAAGGGCTGTTAAGAATTGAGTTTTCATGACCAAAGTTTTCATATCTGGAAAAGTAAAGTTTGTGTGGATTTCATTGACTTTATTTTTTATATTCATTGTATTTTGTGTGTTTGCTCACATGTATGTATGTGTGCCATGTGTGTGCCTGGTGCCCAGGAGTGAAGGTCTTGTATGTACTACAGTTGGATTTTGAGTGTCCCTCCAAGGTCCACCTGTGAAAGAGGCCATGGTTGTGGAACCATTAAGAAGTAGCATCTCCTGGGAGCTCTTTTGCCTGTTAAGTGGCTCAGCTCCAGGACCTGTTCTTTCTATGAAGTACTACCTCACTGGGATCCATAGCAACAGAGCTGACCAATCACAGATCAGAATATCAGAAACCGTTTACAAATGGTTCAAGTATGTTCTGACAGTAAGGTTGGCTAACATAAAGTATGTGTAAGAGAGTGATCACATCACACACAGGAAGTCAAAGAGACTGCTGTCCCCATCCCTTTTGAGGCCTCATCCCTAATGACCTAAGGAATTCTTGCTAGGCTTTCTCTCTCAAAGGCTCCATGGCTTCTCATTTTGTCACAACAGGGAACAAGCCTCTGGCTCACAAGCCCATCGGGGGTCACAAGTCACAATTAAACCACTGTACAAAGATGATTAAGTTCCCAAATGAGGACAGTAAGAATCTATAGACTTAAATTTGCTACATGCTGAGTGTGAACAAAGGGTAAGAACTCTAGAGATGCTACCATTGCTAAGAGCATTACTTGGGCACTTAGTCTCATCAGATTATATTCAGAACAAGGCCCAAGTTGTCTGTGCCTACCAGAAGGATAGCCCCTGATGCTGACTCCACCTTGAGTTACCCAACGAGCTGTAAAAAAAACTCATACCTTCTGGGTGGTGGTGTCACATGTCTTTAATCCCAGCACTCGGGAAGCAGAGGCAGGCAGATCTGTGTTACTTTGAGGCCAGCCTGGTCTACAGAGCGAATTCCAGGACAGACTCCAAAGCTATACAGAGAAATTCTGTCTCAAAACAACAACAACAACAAAAATCTCATACCCTCACTGAATGTGGAATTCAGGCTGGTAAGAATCTCAAGGGGATTTAACATTCCCTCAAGGTTTATATAACTCATTTGGAGGATAGAAATAGCTGCCTGGATTCATAAGTTTTAGACATGGGCCTGGGGATAGAACTCAGGGTCTACTGCATGCTAGCCATGCTTCCCCAGCCCTGCACTAAGCCTTGCTTTCTACTTCTTCTCCTCTCAGGAATGAACATACAGGCTGCAGCGGAAAGATAAAAGGACAGAAAAGAAGGAGAGGAGGGATCTTTTGCTCTGTCCCCAGATGGGTTCAGCTTGCCCACTGGCCTGCTGCACACAGGCTCATAGATACCTTGAACTTTGTGGTCATGGTCATCCTGCAGGATCGTGATGGCAACTGTGTGGTTATTTTCCATCTCCAGCAGAGCAGCCTCGTGGCTGGCAGTGATGTCTTCCACCTGGAGGAAAGACATGGTTACTGTTTATCCAGGGAGCTGGGCTGGCTGTCGGGAATATCTTTGGTGCAAGTCGATAAGAAGAAAAAGTCAGTTGTCCTGCCAAAGATAAGTTACTCCACTGAGATGACTGACACTCCCAGTCTAGTACCAAAGTGAAGTCAGGATCTGTGGTAAAGTGACATTTCCTGGAGCCACTGCCACAACCTAGCTCATTGCAGAAAGATCGAAGTTCAACTCAGCCAGGCGGTGGTAGTACACATTTTTAATCCCAGTCCTTGGGAAGCAAAGGCAGGCAGATCTCTATGAATCCAACCAAGACCAGCTTGGTCTACAGAGCTAGCCGAGGACAGCAAGGGCTACAAAAAGAAACCCTGTCTTGGAAAACTAAAGCAAACCAAACCAAACAAACAAAACAATGAAGTTCCACCCAGGAAGGACTGTCCTGGCCAACTCTGTAGAGTCCTGGACCAACCCATCACATGCTCTTTCTTCAACCTTCAAGGAAGTGGTGGGGCAGAAAAAACATTTCTCCATCCTCTTCTGAAGTTTTCCTAGTGTCAGGTGAGTGGGAACTGCTCTCCCCAAAGCTCTCAGAGTCTACCCACTCCACCTCTATGAGGTAAGTATTTTATACCCATTTTGCAGATGAAGAAACCAAGGCTTAGGTTTAAAATGTTTCACCCAAGAACTAGTAAGTGGCAGGAATAAGCAAGTGCCTCAAGCTCTGTCTGACCCAAGTGGTACTGTTATCTCAAACACACACAGTGACAGCATCTTCTCCAGGTACCACCAGCAAGTGACATGTTAGGACCCCCTCTCCAGTTCCCAGGTGAGGCCAGTAGGCTCACACATGTCCTCTTCACCTATGTTGTGAGCCTAAGCTTGCCTTCCAGATTGCCACCTGCTGGGCCTCCCTGCTGACCAGACAACTTGGGGCTGCTCCTGTGAAGGGTTTCCCACTCTCTGCTTGCAGGTATATTTCCAGGAGTTTAATCACAAGTGTGTTGCCCACCCCATATGTTTTTGTCTTCACTTTTGATTTCAGTGCTGATGACTAAGCCCAGGGTCCAGAACCTTGGACATGCTAGGCAACCACTCTGTCAAACAGTGACACAGCCAGCCTCATTTTCATATTTTCTGATTCTCCTATCCAAAGATTGCATTGCCTACAGTGTTTACTCTTTTGTTTGTTTATTTGGTTTGGTTTTCACATTTTATTGGGGGGTCAACAAATTCCATCAGTGGGGATATTCATAGATTCTTCAGCCATTCCAGGCTTGGGTCCTAAGAGTCCTGGGAAGTGGCTGGGCACATCCAGCATGTTCCCATTATTTTGCATAGGCCCTGAGCAGTTGTAAGGTGTGACCAGATTGATCATGGTGGCATACTTGGCGTAGGGGCTAAGTTGAAGCATAATGATAATGACAGCATATACGGGACTAGAAAGCACGAAGCTATATTGATCCTGATGATGTCTGGACAGTGAGACTCTCCAGAAATGAGATTTGTTAATTCTTATTTATAATAACAAAATAAAATTAGTTATTTTTGCGTCATTGCAACCACACACCCCAAAGGCAGACTAAGAAGACCTTCTGCTTGATTTACCACCATGCTTGCAAATGGCTCTTCTTGATCTGCCATCACCTTCAATCTGCTTACTGTTTTTAAAAATCATTTTGGTCATTGTTTTAACTTCAACTGTAAACCCTACTGGAGTAAATGTTCAGGGTACCCTCTCCCCATGACAGCAAGCCTCTCCTAGACATAATACAGGTGCAGTGTTTATCCAAATTCTTTGTCAATAATCTCTTATCCTCTTCCACTGCACACTGTAACAGTACATTATGTGTGTATGTGTACATACACACATACCTTCACATCCAAAACCAGCTTAACAATAACAACAACAACAAAACCCCAAAACCAACCAAACAAAAACCTGAAGAAAGCTGGAAGAAGGAGCCTTTCTTTGTTTCATGTTGTCTTACAAATAATTCAGTAATTCAGTTTATTTTTTGAACTACAATTGTATCAAAACCTGATTATTTTAAAACCACAAATCCAAATAAACATGTCCTAGGTCCTCAAGTTCTTTGGTGGCCCCATTAGGGACACATTGCTTCTAGCTGACAATATTTGGCCACCTCTGTGGAAACCTCATTTCTCTGGGATAATTCACATAGTTTCTTCTGTTATATGTTCTCTACAAGAAAGGAAACCTGCTTTAATCAACACCTGGGAGTGGGTGAGGTAAGCGTGTGTGTAATACCTGATGAGGCCTGAAGAGGGCATTAGAACCCCCCAGAGCAGGTGGTTGTGAGCTGAGAATTGAACCTGGGTCCTCTGGAAGAGCAGTCAGCACTCTTCACCACTGCACATTTCTCCAGTCTCCAGAGTTTTTCTATTTAAAAGCTGTACAGACCTAGTTCTTTGGAGAAATGGCTACACCCTGTAGCAGGACTCCATTCTAGAGTCAGCTTGCTGCTGAGCAGGGTCTAGGTGCAGAGGCACCAAGGGAGGAAAGCTGTCACCTCAGCCGAGCAAGGATGAGGGTGTGGGCTTTACTTTCAGCCTCATGCCAGAGGCAATTAACTGGGGCTTTGCGATTCATTTAGAGAAGATGTATTTTGAATGGAGCATCACGTGCCCTCGTTTTCTCATTAAATTCAGACCAGATTAAACTCCCTTTTGCCTCCATCCCAGATACACATCCTCATTAGAGGAGCCAGAGGGAGCCAGCCTGTGCTGACTCCTGCACCCGCCTGGGAGCTTCCAACAACCAGGAGCCCATGCCCCTACTTCACCCAGCCAGCCTCCTAGATACCAGCCCAGAGCAGAGAGCAAGCAGGCTGCGCTGGAGGTTCCAGGCTGACTCTATCTGGTTCCCAAAGTGGCCCCTCTTCAGCCTGAAGGGCAGGTGTCCACGAGAGCCCCGTCTCCCCAGTACCACCTCTTCTGAGCACAGGGTCTCTTGTGCCAGACAGTGAGGTCCTGAGGCCTCATTCTGTTTGTGTAGAGTGTCTTCTCCTGTAGGGAAGATGTGGCTGATTGGGTAGGCGGGTTAAGGAGACATGACACAAGGCGATAGTCTCTACCTGTTCAAAGTCCTCAGGGGGTGCTGTTCCTGCCCATTCACCCACCACTCACAAGAATGAGTTTTTAAAGAAAATGGAGGAGGGGGTTTTAGTGAGATGAGTTAATGAGCATTGATGAGAAACGCACGCTTCAAAGATGAGTGACTTCTGCTCACGCTTCAGGCGACAGAATTCTGATGGCTTATTTATCCCTGGGACTGTCTTCTTACCTCTAAAATGGGGATAGGAATGGCCGTCGGATAGGATGATAGAGCCAGTGTACATAAGGTGTTGAAAGTAGTGTCTATGTACGTGTTTGTGTACTACCTCTGCCACAAAGAATACGTGAAGAACAGATGACCAATAAGGGACAAGTGTAAAATTGCAATCTTAGGTAAGTTCTCCCATGACTGGTGCTGAGCCGTCTGGCCAACTCACCTGCTCCTGGTGCTGGCAGCGCATGCGCAGCAGCTGGTCCTGGTGCTCCGCCTGCAGGTGCGCGCTCTCCGCCTGGAACTGTTGCTGTAGCCGCTCCTGCAGCTCCTGCACTTCGGCCTGCTGCTGCCAGCCCAGCCTCCTCAGCTCCTCCTCGAACCGCCTCTCCAGCGCCTCCTTCTCCTTCTGCAGTTTCTCACACTTGGCGGTGTTGAAGGCTGCAGAGAGCACGAAGTTCTTTAGCACAGTGGGGAGCAGCCGCTGCGATGACCCACCACGAGCCCACCTGAGGCTTTCAAAAATAAAACTGAAACAGGAACTCCTGGGCCGGGAGGATGCCTGGCTCAGCATGCACGAGGCCCCAAGTTCCACTCCTAGCACCAAAAACTGATTAAAGAAGTAAACAATTAAAAAATGCGTGGTGGCACACGCATTTAATCCTAGCGCTCTAACATTTAATCCTAGCGCCCTGGAGGCAGAGTCAGGGGATCTCTGTGATTTCGAGGTCAGTCTGGTCTACATAGCAAGCTCCAGGTCATCCAGGGCTACACAGTGAGGCTTTGTCTCAAAAATAAGTAAATAGAGAAATAAATAAACCACAAACACCTCAAAACCTAGTTTAGCACAATATATTATCACAAAAGACTCTCTTCCACTGAACCATCTGAGAATAAGATGCCAATCCTACTATGCCCAAATTCCCTAGCATGTATGCCCTACTTACCCACAAGGCCAGCACACTCACGAGATCTGTGACACAATGGTGCCACCCAGTGCTCAGAACTGTTGAAATTTACCCAGTCAAGGCTCGATTGATACAGCTTGCGCCCCTTATTGTTAGACAATTGTTTTCAAGACTTGTTGATACAGATTATAGTACAGATAATACAACAAACATGTTCGCTCATATGCCTGGTCACTTTTCATTAGGATGAGCTCTCAGGAGTGGAAGTCACAAGGCTTTAAAGACTATGGGTGTCAACATCCAGTGGTTGCTGCTTTCTCTAAATTTCACAGTTAGCTGTGAACCTGTGACCACTAGGGGGCAGCATAGCACCTGAAACGTGCTCTGGGGGACACACTGCCCTGAATGACTGACTTACTTTCATCCTAAATTCTTCTTTTTGGAGAAAATGTTAAGAGGAGAAATAAAAGGAGTGGCTAAAAATGAACTCCGAGGTGTTCATTTTTCTCTGAGGAGAATAAGTCAGAGAGCCACCAGCCCGTCTGTTGTGTTTGTAGAGACACGCTACTCCTAGGGCATGCTGGCTGCGTGAAAGCTGGCTCAGACTAAATAGAAGTTGGCATCTATATCCTTGCCTTATCTAGACAGGGTATCACAGAATGAGTGGTGGCTTGAATGAGAAATGTCCCCTGTAGTTTCAGACATTTGATCATTTGGTCCCCAGTGGGTGGCTGTTTGGGGAGGCTTAGGAGGCACATGCAACCTTGCTGTAGGACGTATATCACTGTGGGCAGGCGGGCTTTAAGCTTAAAAGAAAGGACAAGAGCATCACCAGACGGGAGTTCAGGTAGACAGAGATGCAAGTTCAGTCCTCACGTGGACATTAGTTAATCCAGTGATGATTTATGGGTGTAATGCTTGGTCCTCGCTGGACTCCCTCCCTCCCACCTGAACATGCAAAGGCCCTGGGGCAGGCACAGATCTGGTCTAAGGAACAGAAAGGCCACTGATGGAACACCGACATCCTCAGAGGAGGGCGGTCAACTTCTAGAGGCAGGCAGAGGTACATCGGGCTGGACCTGGGGTTACACTGTGGCTTTCTGGCTATCTTCCCACAACAGCTTCATGCTCCTGGAGTCTCTCAAAGACGGGAAGAAATAATGACTTTCATCCTGATAGCTGTATGGAAAATGATTTGTGAGACAAGGAAAAGAGTTCAGGGGATGTCTGGAGTTCAGACACTGAGCTTAACGATGACTTGGATGACTCCATTGAGGGATGAAGCATGCAAAGGTGAGGGAGACCTGATCTGCACGTGGATTGGTTACAGAGATGAGGGCTAGGCAAGGACAGAGAAAGATCCAGTGGTTGGTCTGAGCAGGGAAACATGGTGGCCCTCTTCAGGGAGATGGGAACATCGCTAGGGATGCTTGTAAGTCTTCGAGGAACTATTAGGTCTGTTGTGCATTTAGGGATCTGCTGTGGTCCACTGATCTCAGGAAAAGCCTCTCTGGTTTTTAGAGCATAGAGGTTGTCAATTGGTATGAGAAATAAAAAAAAAAAAAAAAAACTGAGGCCTGCTGGGTTTTGAGAAGTTCCATGCCATGGTGTTGATGAGTGTCTATATCCCAGGTTCACACCAAGTGGTCTACCTTTTAACAATGTCAATTCTTCAGAGCCTGAGGCCTTGGGACAGACTAGAGTTAGTGAGTCTCCTCCGGATAACACCCTGCTCCAAGGATCTGTAAACGGTCTGTGCAAAGACACAAAAGATGTGTCCATCATAGAGTGGAGAGCACTCCCTAGCTCCCAGGAGTCTTTTTAATATTGTGACTCTTGAAGGGCAAACTCTGGGTAGCAGGAGATGAGGAAGAGTGGAGCCAGCAGTGAAAGGACAGTGGACCGAGGCAGTGAGAGCAGACAAAGGCAGAGGCTGGGCTGAAGCAGGAAGCCTGTCCCAGCTGACCATGGGGCTAAATGGGATCAACACTTGATACTGGGTTTCTCAAAGTCATCTGGCCTCTCTGAGCTTAATATCAAAGCAGGACATTGGTCGTCCTTGCTACGTTTTGAATCTGAAACATCTCCGACTGGCTTATGCTTTGCATAGTATTCTCAGTCTAGTGATGATATTTTGGGAGGCTGTAGAGTCTTTAAGAGGTGGCAGAGACTGGTTGGTCATCAGGTGTCTTTGAAGGTAACATCTGATCTCCACTTTTTGTCCTACTCTCTGCCTCCTGTTTTAGTGTCATGTGCCTACCATAATGAGCTGAGTCTCTCTGTAAAGATAGGGGTGTGTGTCATTTTACTTTATTCAATTCCCTTCGAAACATTTATTTAGATGGTTTGCCTGCATGTATGTCTGTGTGCCTGGTATCTGCAGAAGTCAGAAGAGGCATCGGATCTCTTAGAGATGGAGTTCCAGATTGTTGTGAGCTGCCGTGTAGGTTCTAGGAACTAAACCTAGGTCCTCTGCAAAAGCAGCCAGTGCTCTTAACTGCTGAACTGTCTTTTTTGCCCCGGGTGTACCATTTTGTGTTTGAATTTCCTACAAAGCATACTCTCTAAGAAGAGGAGCTTCAGTCACAGAGAAAAATGTGCTTTTGCACAGAATTACTTGTTTCTCAGTGATGCAAGAAATGAGCAGTAACAACAGAGGTTGGTATCTGTGTGTGCTTTGTGGTTTATGCAGTGGTTTTGATGAGGATGTCCTCCTTAGGCTCAGGCATTTGGGCACCTGACCCCCAGCTGATGGTGCTGTCTGGGGAAGTGTTATGGGACCTTAAGCAGGTGTAGTCGCTGGAGGAAGCAGGTCACTGGAGGAACTTTGAGAGTGCATGGTTTTGTCCCACTTCCAGTTTGCTCTCTTTGTAATTGTGGTTGGGGTTGTGATCTCTCAGCTCCCTGCTCCTGCTGCCATGCCTCCCCATCATACCCCAGAATCTTAGTTGCCATTGGATTCCACTTATGTGACCGACATCTCAGAAATGCCTAGGGAGTAGTAACAAGCCTGTTTGTTGCAGTAATAATACAAAGCGATATGAGAAAGAGCAGACACTAAAACTCCCAATTGGTTTAAAGTCTCTCAATAGTCATACATGCTTTGTGTCACTTAAAGAATACATTGTATTCTTTAAGATGAACAAGTCAGTGAACCGATGGTGACTGGTCTCCTGTGGGACAGTAACTACAGTGTGTCTAAGCTCTGTCTCAGAGGGAGTGGAGGTTAAAGGCAAGATTTACAGGGAAAGAAGAAAAGAGGAAGTTGATTTGAGATGGTTTAAAGCTTTTGAAAAGAGAAACTACGCTGTGCAGATGAGAATTGGTAACACACCACTCATAGATAGGGAATGGCCTACTACAGATGTCTCTGCCTGGAGCCTGCTCCTTGGTTTTGTCCATTTAATTTGGGTACCCAGACTTTTTTTTCTTTTTTGTTTTTTGGGACAGTGCTTCTCTGTGGCTTTGGAGGCTGTCCTGGAACTAGCTCTTGTAGACCAGGCTGTTCTCAAACTCACAGAGATCCACCTGCTTCTGCCTCCCGAGTGCTGGGATTAAAGGCTTGTGCCACCGCCGCCCCGCTGGGTACCCAGACTTTTAAAGGTATCTCTACAGCATCGACTTCCACAACTCACTACGTACATAACTCACTAGCTTGGGCTTTCTGTGGCCAGACCCTGGAAGGGTAGCTAATGGCTCTTCATGGCCAGAGCACTTGGTTATTTACTACTCCATTTGTTTCCCTGTGTAAAGTGGCATCAAAGGGTGAACCTTTTCATTTGACCTCAAAGATCTGAGAAGTCCATAAGTGACCCAGGTTTTATCTCCATAGTGAGCATGCCTTTTAGAAAGAGCTTTTGATACAGGACTGTAAACTTTAAACATTGGTGAACATTCACTTCCGGCCCCTTTCACCAGGAGAATGGACCCCACAGAATTCTAGAAAATAACCTTCCAAGACCCAATCATTTTCAAAGCCTTGAAGTTTACAGAGGCCTCATTCCACAATACATCACCAATGTAGTCTTCTACCCGAAGGCTCCAGTGGCCCCATTCTGGATTTATACAAAATGGGCAAGGAGACCGAGTAGATGCTAGAGAGTAAACTAGTGTGTGCTGAAGGTAATGGGTTCCCGTTTTTATTCCTTTTCTCAGGCGGTTCAGTTCAGTGGATGTCATGGGGCTCGGGAGACTCCTCTCTGATACGAGGATTGCTCAGATACATGACACGTTGTGTGTGTGTGTGTGTGTGTGTGTGTGTGTGTGTGTGTGTGTGCTTGTGCACACGCATGCACGTGCACTCATGCAAAACACATGTTTACCATGTTTAGTTTTGCACGAAAAGAAGTATTAACATTTTAAAATCTTCAAAACCTAATTTCACCTGGGAGGCATGAATTTCCCCATCAACTCAGCACGGTGTCCCTATCTCTTCAAACACATCAAGGGATAAAGCAGGCCACATAGAACTGTTCCCACTGATCCACTGACCAACATTACACACGCACGCACACACACACACACACACACACA